TTCAGTGAACGTGTGTAGGAGTCACGGGTTCAACCGACTTACATTAGTCATGTGAGAGAGCCATTTAACATCCAACCCTTCTTCACCTTACTTCATGTAATGGGTATTATGCTGTCTCAGTGCATGCACAGGATGCTATCTCACAGTGAGTACATGATGCTATCTCAGTGCATGCACAGTGAGTACATGATGCTATCTCAGTGCATGCACAGTGAGTACATGATGCTATCTCAGTGCATGCACAGTGAGTACATGATGCTATCTCAGTGCATGCACAGTGAGTACACGATGCTATCTCAGTGCATGCACAGTGAGTACATGATGCTATCTCAGTGCATGCACAGTGAGTACATGATGCTATCTCAGTGCATGCACAGTGAGTACATGATGCTCTCCATTTGGGAGACATGGCCCGGAAAGTCACTGCTGATATGGACAAAATGCAAACAGAAGTGAGTAGACAGTAGCAAGCTTATGAGTTTTGATGTGAAAGGGCTTTCATGTTATTTTTTTTTCTCGGTTGCATTTTACTTTTGTGAAAACTTCATGTTTGAAAATGTGTGTACGTAAGTAAATCATTTTCTCTCAATTTTCCCCATCTCTCTTCCTCCTCCCTTCTCTGCAGATAAGAGAACTTCGATCAGAAAACGAGGCCCTCAGGCGAGAGGTCAAGAGTACAGTGGCTGCCATGGCAACGACAAACGAGGCACTCTCCTCGCTCCAGTCTCGTACTGACAGACTAAGCCACACCCTCCTCTGTGAGATGGAGTACTATTGCCATGCCAGAGAGCCGCACGAGCTGGTTGCCCTGGAGTGTATGAAGACCCAGCTGGCCGGCAGACAGATCCACCTACATGCAGGGGGTTCCCCTGCTGTTGTTAGGATGACATCATACCTCACACATAAGGAGTCCGGACAGGCAAGTGGCTTTATTCTACTTTTACTTTTACTTTTTTCCCTTCATGATGAATATGGTACTACTATAGGTATGGTTGAGTCCGCCATTCTACGTGTGTTCTGGCTACAAACTGAGACTAGCGGTCCATCTGAATGGAGTGGGAGCTGGCAAAGGCAGTCACGTCTCTATCTTCCTCCACCAAATGGCTGGAGAGATGGATAATGAACTACACTGGCCGTTCCTTTTAAAGGTATGTATATGCTTTGCTACACTTGCGCATGCGCAGACCGGAGAGAGGGTCTTCGGGCGTTTGTTTTGCATTGTTGACAAGTTGACTTCTCTCTGCGTGTGGCCTCGCTGCTTGCGCATGCACACACCAGAGAGAAGGTCTGCAGACCTGTTAGTTGGCAACACATGCGTTCTTTATCCCATTATTCTACCCATCTTCTCGCACACTATGAATATCTTTACATCACTTCTCTCTCTCAGGATCGCGTGAGGGTGTCGCTGATAGACCAGACAAAGACCCAACCCAACTCCCCCACACACCCACCACTCCCCACCACTCCCCGATCTTCACCAAAGTTTGTCCGTCGCCAGTCCAATCTTCCTCCCCTCTCCCCTCCCTCCCCCATCTCCCTCCCTCCCACTGCCGCGCCGCTACGACAACCACGGAGACTGGCTGACGACCAGCGACCGCCTCCACTGAGACAGGAATCAGCTCTGGTTGTCATAGAAACACAGGCGATGGCGGTACAGGGGTTCCTGAGGCGAGTGAGAGGAGAAGAAATGTCCCTCGGGGGTGTCGTCGTTTCAAAAATGGAGCTCTTCTGCACGCAGTCAAAAGTGAATGGAGTCGTCCATTTGGATTCTCTCGTCTTCTCTGTTTGTCTGTGCAGCGGAAACCTTTCCGACGGACATATTGCTTGCTAGCTGTGATGTAATCACGATGTCATTCGTTATTGTTTTTATGGAAGCCTCTGATACGAGCATAGTTGATGATGTCATTTTTCATTCTACTGTGTCTCTTACATGATATGATGTAATCATTGCATCATCTGTTTTCTCACTTTCATGAACTCGATCTGTCTCTGATGGCAGAATAAAAATTTGCTTTCCATGATGTATTCTTACATCATTAAACTGAACAAGCTTTCGGTTGCAGGCAAATGGGTGGTTTGCTGTCACTTGCTATGACAAGCAAGACAAAACCTTTTGATAATTACGTAGGATGCTATGTATACTAAAGCATTTCAGCTTAGGGAGTTATTTAATCTAGAGACATGGAGTCTGGGAAAAAATGGATACAAAATAACTCATAAGTGGGATTCTAGAGCAGGGCCAAGCCACAAATGGTCAGAGAGAGCATTTTCTTGGCAATGGGCAACTTGTTGTAGCAATCAGAGAGTGCTCTCTCCCTTAGTCCACAAGTTTTCCCAGGAAGAAATTCCACAGGGACACTTTGCGCCCTCATAGATACATGGAACCACTTTTGCCTCTATAGTTGCCAGGAACATTATCTGATCCACAATAGAGGAAGTACACCAGCCTAAAGACTACGCCTATATCCAATGGGCCTAGTGCACTAAACATGCCAGCTATATACCATGAACACAAAGCAATCAGCGGCAATTCTATTTACCTTTTAAGTGCACATACCATCCCATCTTTGTTCATCTGCGCAACCAGGAGGATGAGTATAAAAAGCGGAGGGCGAGCTAGTTGTCACACGAAGCGCAAAAGAAGTAAAATACTTCACTCGTTGATCGTTGACGAAAACCAAGATGAAAGTAATCATCGGTGCCTTTCTCCTCCTCTTCGCCATCTCTTCCATGATTGGTGGGAGCCAACAGAACGAGGGTGGCTGGAGTGAGGGGTGCAATGACCTCGTGAGGGACAATCAGCCACTTAACGACTGCTACCGTTCACTGAAGGACCATAAACCAGAGGCATTCTGCAACGGACAGGAAGACGGCGATTGCATCGAGATTCTCCAGCCATTTCTGGAGTGTGTTGGGGAGGAGACCCGGGCCCAGAAGGAGGCAGTCATCGCTGAGCTCCGAGGAAAATGCATCTTGCAGTCCGTGGAGAGTGGAGGTGCCATGACTACAGGGGCAGGAGTCGTTATACCGTCTCTTCTGGTCGCCATGGCTGCAGCTCTCAACTGAAGATATTCGCTGAGATTTTTGAACATTTCAACGAACAAGCCGTATAATATACTGTAAATCATTGACTGAAGTCTGCTAGTGCTATTCGTGTATTGTTTTGCTCACTTAGAGTTTGGTGCTTTAAACTGTTTAGACGATGCACATCCTGAGTCTCTTCTCTAACCTCCCGCATACTTATTCTGGTTAAACTAGACCTGCACACTAGACTCATTTTCTGTTCAAATGGCACATGGTTTTGTTAAAAATATTATGGATCTAGCTACACCTGTAAAACTGGGTCAAACCCTGTTTGTAAGGTGTGTTGAGCCCTGCAGCCTCGAACCTTCTTGAACAACTTCAGTGAACGTGTGTAGGAGTCACGGGTTCAACCGACTTACATTAGTCATGTGAGAGAGCCATTTAACATCCAACCCTTCTTCACCTTACTTCATGTAATGGGTATTATGCTGTCTCAGTGCATGCACAGGATGCTATCTCACAGTGAGTACATGATGCTATCTCAGTGCATGCACAGTGAGTACATGATGCTATCTCAGTGCATGCACAGTGAGTACACGATGCTTTTGTGTAATTATTGATGAGTTATTGAGATACTGTCCTATTATGGGGACAAATACGAGGCTGCAGATTGGTACAGAGCAAGACAAAATGATCTCCTGGCTACACTGCGAAGAACTAATGGGTCACTGTGTTCTATGAGTGTCTTTACAGAGGGATCAGCGTTCCACGTATTCACAGAAAATCAGGCACTAATGCAGAGTTGGCCAAACTTCCATTGCTCATTGCTACATACTCTCCTGCATAGACTCCAGATGGCTTCTAGAGGGTCTTAAAAGGAGTGCTAATACCTAGAGCTACAATCCCACAACTGAAACGACTTTGATTTTGCATGCCAAGGACCTCCTAAATCGCCCACCAAGAGATGAAACTGCTCCTGATATCACGACTCTGCTGCGTTGTGCTGTTGTTCCCATCCATATCTGAGAGTGGACGACTGAACAAGAGAGATTGTCTTGAGCTTACTTCTGGCAACTCTCGGAATGCTGACTGCTACGCATGATAATCAATGCGCATCTGATAAGTGATTGAGCCATGCAGCTAAGAAGTGGATTCAACCCACTTCCATTAGTCATGTAAAAAAGATCAACCGTTTCACATCCAACCCTTCTTCACCTTACTTCGGGTATTATGCAATCTTAAGTGTATGCACAGTGAGTACACGTGCACCTGGCAATTTATTTTCAGCCTTTGTGTAATTATTGATGAGTTGTTGGGATAGCGTCCTATTATGGGGACAATGTTTCTCATACATGGCGGAAGATTGGTCGAGAGCAAGACAAAATCATCCCCTGGCTACACTGCCAAGACTTGTTTGTGTTCACCCATTAAGAGTGTCTTTACGGAGAGACCAGCGTTCATGCATACTGAGTGAGACTGTACTGTATAGCACACTGGTTTGAGGTATGCCTTTATGTTGTGTTGTGTTGTAGATTCGAAGCCCTTACCAGCTGAGTTGCCCTGGTAGTTCAGTTGGTAGAGCGCTCGCCTAGACTGCAGTGTCGTGGGTTCGAATCCCATCCAGGGCAACTCTTCTTCTTATCCTTGAAAAGAAAGGGCTGTCCTGGGTGTAGTTGACATGTTTGCCTTGCCTTGTCTTTCTACGTCGTTACCAAGTTGTTGAGACATGCATTTCAGGCACTAATGCAGAGTTGGGCAAACTTCCATTGCTATCTCAGTGCATGCACAGTGAGTACACGATGCTTTTGTGTAATTATTGATGAGATACCGTCCTATTATGGGGACAAATACGAGGCTGCCGATTGGTAGAGAGCAAGACAAAATGATCCCCTGGCTATACTGCCAAGAACTAATGGGGAACTGCCTCTGTGTTCTATCATTAAGAGTGTCTTTACAGAAGGATCAGCGTTCCATGCATTCACAGAAAATCAGGCACTAATGCTGCATGGGCTCCACATGGCTTTCAGAGGGTCTTAAAGAGTGCACACAGCTCTGTGAGAGTGTCTCTTACGGAGGAATCAGTGTTCCATAAAAATCCGGCACTTATGCACAGAATTGGCCAAACTTCAAGTACTCCTTGCTGCATACTCTCCTGCATAGACACAGGGTTATAAAAGGAGTGCTAATACCTTGAACTACAATCTTACAACTGGAACGACTTCGATTTCGCACGCCAAGGACCTCCTAAATCGCCCACCGATTCGAGATGAAGTTGCTGCTGGTATCCGGACTCTGTCTTCTGCTGTTTTTCGCCTCCATCATCGAGAGTGGACAACTGAACAAGAGAGAAAAGAGTGAAGAGTGCCTAGCACTGATTGCTGCCAACAGTCTCTGCTTCAGGGCTGTGCATGAAGAAGATGCAGAGCTCTTGTGCAAAATGCAGGAAGATTGTCTGGAATTTATGGAGCCGTACATCACACTCTGTGCTGGCAATGAGACCACAATAATCGAGAAACAAAGAATTGTGAACGAATTGCTGCAGCAGTGCGATGACGCCAAAGAGTTGGAGAATGGTGCCATGATAACAGGGGCAGGAGTCGTTATACCAACCCTTCTGGTCGCCATGGCTGCAGCTCTCAACTGAAGATATTCACTGAGACATTTCAACAATAAACAAGCTGTAAAATAATCATTCGCTGCAGTTGTGTATGTTATGTTACCTAGTACTATTCGTGTATTTTTGCTCACTAGAGTCCGCCATTTGAATTGCGCAATCTGATTGGGCGATACGCAGTATGGAATGTGTGCAGAGGCTGACTCTAACCTTCCTTTCGCACGCACACTTACCCTGGGTACAGTAGACTCCGCTGGACTCACTTTCTGTTCACATGGTGTAGTTATCAATTTATGGATCCTGTGAAACTGGGTCCAAACTCTGTAAAAACGATTTAAATTGCGCAATCTGACTGAGCGGTGCACAGAGCTGGGCCATGTACACAAAGCTGCAGACTGGTAGAGAGCAAGACAAAAATGATATCTTGGCTACACCGCCAGGAAAATGAGTCACTGCCTGTTGTTTGACAATTTTAAGGCAGGATCAGCGTTCCACGTATTCACAGAAAATCAGGCACTAATGCAGAGTTGGCCAAACTTCCATTGCTCATTGCTACATACTCTCCTGCATAGACTCCAGATGGCTTCTAGAGGGTCTTAAAAGGAGTGCTAATACCTAGAGCTACAATCCCACAACTGAAACGACTTTGATTTTGCATGCCAAGGACCTCCTAAATCGCCCACCAAGAGATGAAACTGCTCCTGATATCACGACTCTGCTGCGTTGTGCTGTTGTTCCCATCCATATCTGAGAGTGGACGACTGAACAAGAGAGATTGTCTTGAGCTTACTTCTGGCAACTCTCGGAATGCTGACTGCTACGCATGATAATCAATGCGCATCTGATAAGTGATTGAGCCATGCAGCTAAGAAGTGGATTCAACCCACTTCCATTAGTCATGTAAAAAAGATCAACCGTTTCACATCCAACCCTTCTTCACCTTACTTCGGGTATTATGCAATCTTAAGTGTATGCACAGTGAGTACACGTGCACCTGGCAATTTATTTTCAGCCTTTGTGTAATTATTGATCAGTTGTTGGGATAGCGTCCTATTATGGGGACAATGTTTCTCATACATGGCGGAAGATTGGTCGAGAGCAAGACAAAATCATCCCCTGGCTACACTGCCAAGACTTGTTTGTGTTCACCCATTAAGAGTGTCTTTACGGAGAGACCAGCGTTCATGCATACTGAGTGAGACTGTACTGTATAGCACAGTGGTTTGAGGTATGCCTTTATGTTGTGTTGTGTTGTAGATTCGAAGCCCTGACTAGCTGAGTTGCCCTGGTAGCTCAGTTGGTAGAGCGCTCGCCTAGACTGCAGTGTCGTGGGTTCGAATCCCATCCAGGGCAACTCTTCTTCTTTTCCTTGAAAAGAAAGGGCTGTCCTGGGTGTAGTTGACATGTTTGCCTTGCCTTGTCTTTCTACGTCGTTACCAAGTTGTTGAGACATGCATTTCAGGCACTAATGCAGAGTTGGGCAAACTTCCATTGCTATCTCAGTGCATGCACAGTGAGTACACGATGCTTTTGTGTAATTATTGATGAGATACCGTCCTATTATGGGGACAAATACGAGGCTGCAGATTGGTAGAGAGCAAGACAAAATGATCCCCTGGCTATACTGCCAAGAACTAATGGGTCACTGCCTCTGTGTTCTATCATTAAGAGTGTCTTTACAGAAGGATCAGCGTTCCATGCATTCACAGAAAATCAGGCACTAATGCTGCATGGGCTCCACATGGCTTTCAGAGGGTCTTAAAGAGTGCACACAGCTCTGTGAGAGTGTCTCTTACGGAGGAATCAGTGTTCCATAAAAATCCGGCACTTATGCACAGAATTGGCCAAACTTCAAGTGCTCCTTGCTGCATACTCTCCTGCATAGACACAGGGTTATAAAAGGAGTGCTAATACCTTGAACTACAATCTTACAACTGGAACGACTTCGATTTCGCACGCCAAGGACCTCCTAAATCGCCCACCGATTCGAGATGAAGTTGCTGCTGATATCCGGACTCTGTCTTCTGCTGTTTTTCACCTCCATCATCGAGAGTGGACAACTGAACAAGAGAGAAAAGAGCGAAGAGTGCCTAGCACTCATGGCTGCCAACCCTGAGCGTGTTCCCTGCTACGATGCTGTGGCGGAGAATGATGCCCAGAAATTCTGCAGGACACGGGAATATTGTCAGCAGTTTCTCGGGCGGTATTTCCAAATCTGTTTCAGCAACGAGACCTACAGAGCTGAGAAACAAAGAAAGATGAATGTGTTGCAGGAAAAGTGCGACGAGTTGGAGAATGGTGCCATGATAACAGGGGCAGGAGTCGTTATACCAACCCTTCTGGTCGCCATGGCTGCAGCTCTCAACTGAAGATATTCACTGAGACATTTCAACAACAAACAAGCTGTAAAATATTCATTCGCTGAAGTTGTGTATGTTATGTTAACTAGTACTATTCGTGTATTTTTGCTCACTAGAGTCCGCCATTTGAATTGCGCAATCTGATTGGGCGATACGCAGTATGGAATGTGTGCAGAGGCTGACTCTAACCTTCCTTTCGCACGCACACTTACCCTGGGTACAGTAGACTCCGCTGGACTCACTTTCTGTTCACATGGTGTAGTTATCAATTTATGGATCCTGTGAAACTGGGTCCAAACTCTGTAAAAACGATTTAAATTGCGCAATCTGACTGAGCGGTGCACAGAGCTGGGCCATGTACACAAAGCTGCAGACTGGTAGAGAGCAAGACAAAAATGATATCTTGGCTACACCGCCAGGAAAATGAGTCACTGCCTGTTGTTTGACAATTTTAAGGCAGGATCAGCGTTCCACGTATTCACAGAAAATCAGGCACTAATGCAGAGTTGGCCAAACTTCCATTGCTCATTGCTACATACTCTCCTGCATAGACTCCAGATGGCTTCTAGAGAGTCTTAAAAGGAGTGCTAATACCTTGAGCTACAATCCCACAACTGAAACGACTTCAATTTTGCATGCCAAGGACCTCCTAAATCGCCCACCAAGAGATGAAACTGCTCCTGATATCACGACTCTGCTGCGTTATGCTGTTGTTCCCATCCATATCTGAGAGTGGACGACTGAGCAAGAGAGATTGTCTTGAGCTTACTTCTGGCAACTCTCGGAATGCTGACTGCTACGCATGATAATCAATGCGCATCTGATAAGTGATTGAGATACCTTCCTATTATGGGGACAAATACATGGCTGCAGATTGGTAGAGAGCAAGACAAAATGATCCCCTGGCTATATATACTGCCAAGAACTAATGGGTCACTGCCTCTGTGTTCTATCATTAAGAGTGTCTTTACAGAGGGATCAGCGTTCCATGCATTCACAGAAAATCAGGCACTGATGCAGAGTTGGCCAAACTTCAAGTGCTCATTGCTGCATACTCTCCTGCATAGACACAGGGTTATAAAAGGAGTGCTAATACCTTGAACTAAAATCCTGCAACTGGAACGACTTCGATTTCACATGCCAAGGACCTCCTAAATCGCCCACCGATTCGAGATGAAGTTGCTGCTGATATCTGGACTCTGTCTTCTGCTGTTTTTCACCTCCATCATCGAGAGTGGACAACTGAACAAGAGAGAAAAGAGCGAAGAGTGCCTAGCACTCATGGCTGCCAACCCTGAGCGTGTTCCCTGCTACGATGCTGTGGCGGAGAATGATGCCCAGAAATTCTGCAGGACACGGGAATATTGTCAGCAGTTTCTCGGGCGGTATTTCCAAATCTGTTTCAGCAACGAGACCTACAGAGCTGAGAAACAAAGAAAGATGAATGTGTTGCAGGAAAAGTGCGACGAGTTGGAGAATGGTGCCATGATAACAGGGGCAGGAGTCGTTATACCAACCCTTCTGGTCGCCATGGCTGCAGCTCTCAACTGAAGATATTCACTGAGACATTTCAACAATAAACAAGCTGTAAAAATAATCATTCGCTGCAGTTGTGTATGTTATGTTACCTAGTACTATTCGTGTATTTTTGCTCACTAGAGTCCGCCATTTGAATTGCGCAATCTGATTGGGCGATACGCAGTATGGAATGTGTGCAGAGGCTGACTCTAACCTTCCTTTCTCACGCACACTTACCCTGGGTACAGTAGACTCCGCTGGACTCACTTACTGTTCACATGGTGTAGTTATCAATGTGGATCCTGTGAAACTGGGTCCAACTCTGTAAAAACAATTTCTTATTGGGCGTTGCACAGACTCATTAGAGTCTAGTCCGGAAACCACTGAAAACTGAAAACCTGACTTCAACCTAACTCACATGCACACATATTCTGAGGGAACCCCTGGACACACTTTCTGCTCACATGGCACGTAATGTACATGATAATTAATGTGCATCTAAACAGTCGAACCATGCTTGTAAGGTGTGTTGAGCCCTGCAGTTAAAAAGTGGATTCAACCCACTTCTGTGAAAGATCAACCATTTCACTTCCAACCCTTCTTCACCTTACTTCGGGTATTATGCTATCTTAAGTGTATGCACAGTGAGTACACGTGCACCGAACAACTTCGAATTATTTTGCGCCTTTGTGATATGTCCTATTATGGGGACAATGCTTCTCATACAAGGTTGCGGATTGGTAGAGAGCAAGACAAAATGATCCTGTGCTGGCAACAAGACGAGGGCCGAGAAAGAGCAAGTGGTTGGTGAGCTGATGGAGAAATGCGAGGGTGAGAACTGGAGTTCAGATGCTACGAAGACAACAGTTTTCCTCGTAGTACCATCTCTTGTAGTGGGTCTAAGTTGTAGCCCTTAACTGAGAATTTGCTAAGACCGCTGGACAGTTTCACAAATAATAGACTGTATATTATACTGTACATCATTGCTACAAGTACACTAATCATTTTGATGCCATTATTCCTCAAGCTGTAAGGTGAAGGCAGGTTGCACGTTGGTCCACTTATATAACTTTGTAAAACAGACTCCATTTTACAAGAGTACAGACATGGCACGCATATTTTCATCAATAAACATTACTATTCTACATTCATACAACTAACTAAAACTGTTTCTTTTGCTGTCCGGTATGTATCTAGTACAGTTGAATTCAGCGCAACTCTACTGGGGTTCAGCAGAAAGCAGCAGTAGTTGCCACAGCCAGTACAGTGGCTGATACGATGGCGAGCAGAGTAGCCCTGACACCCTCGGCCCCACCCTCGCCAGATCCAGATCCACCACTATCATCATCAGTTGTAGGGAGTTCAAAAGTAGGGAAATCAGCACAGACAACATCAAGACTTGCTCTAACACTAGGTCCTCCTACAGGGCACTGTGCAACATATTGCTCCAGACTTGTCCGGCAGGTCCCGGTGCATACAGACTCTGACACTGAAGTCAAGCTGTTGGAAGCACATTCCAACTGGAGTGCTCGAATCTCCAAGCTGAGTGCAGATGGGTGGCAGTGGAACCTGTCTCTCCGATGAGCTGCTCCCAGCCGTGAAGATAGCGAGCAACAGAAGAGAAACCGCAAAACACTTTGCCGAATCATTCATCTTACAATAGCGTTTAAACTTTTGTTGGTGACAAAAAATGATTCGCCAATGTGAGTGTATGATAAGTGGAGCTTTTTATCCTCTCTCTCTGATCCTCTGCTGATTGTGCTACACAAACACAAAGTGTTAGTTTACTTCCAAGGAGAGTTTGTCAAGTTACATGCTGAGTGGAAATGGTAACAACTCCCACATCGAAAAATATCCAAGGTAATGTATTGTTATGAAAAAAACCAACCATTAATGCCAGTGCTACAGTCTACTGTTTTGCATCGTTAGTTTGTGTAGCTATTCCGCAATAAATGTATAGACACACACACAAACTATGTTGCAAGCCAGAACCCAAGAAAGTACTACTGCTTCAGACAGCGTTTTTCATTCTGTCTTATTGCCTGTGGCTACAATCCCAACAATAAGCAATGAGCCCAATGGGCTGAGGTGGCTGCGCCCTATTTTTATGCTGGTACGACACTTCAGTGAAAATAATTTTATCATAATGAAACAGTAGAGTTGATTTAACAAGCTGCAGCTGCACTAGAGCCAGTGCAGTAGCTGATTATTATGGCAGAGAGCAGAGAGTTTCTACAACTGCAGTGCTCCATTTTATGTTTTTCCTCCTGAGCCATCACCTGTGGAGATAGGCTTTTTTCTTATTATTTTGATACCGTGTGTGCTGTGCAGCTCTACGTAGTATGTTTGCCGCCATCGGTGCACCAGTTCACGCATGCATTACTATATAGTCCTACATGAGTAAGCCCGTATAATTATGTCGTCATTCATTCTGTCTCATGTTTTCTTCTTTCTTTCTCCATATAGCGCGAGGTGTTAGTTTACATGACCCACACATTGCGTTAGGTAGCTAATTTTGTGTACCAGAAGAGAAGCAGAGGGTTTTATACTGACCCCTGTAATGCTCTGCACCGGGGCACGGGTGATTGAGAACCTGGTCCAGAAGAGTTGTGCAGTTCCCCTCACAACCAGCCGGGAATGAATTAATCACCAGTAGAGCACATAGGACTGCTTCACTCTGAGTGTCCGTAGCATCATCACATAATGGACCCACAGTTGGTGGAGAGTAGCAGTATCAGACAGATAGTAGCTGGCAGTACTGAGTTGCCCATCTTCAAAATTACAGAGTTTAGGGCTTGCCGATTGTTGGCTGCAAGTTATACGTATAACAGAGCTACCCAGGCTCCGCGGGGGATAATTCCGTGAGACTGTTTATGATTAAAACTGCAGTGGTGTGTTTTAATAAGGATCTAGGCAAATGTTACTGGTACAGAAACATAAACTGTAAGAGTTGCAAGACATTAATAACTATGTGTCCATATAAATTGACGATGATTCATTGTATCTCTAGTCCAAATCAGAAATGCTGACTTGCACATCACAAAAGTAATGCTACTGCCACATGTTGTCTCTCCCTCCAGTTCAATAGAGGGCAGCAGTCACAGTAGCGAGTACAGTGGCTGATATGATGGAGATCAGAGCACTACCTCCTACCACCGCTCCGGTTCCACTGGAACCTTACAGAAAAGACCAGGCATTATTATAGAGAGGAGGTGTGAGTATATATACACACTGTATAATAATTATATTATACCAGTGCAGAGAGAATTAACATCAGTTTTGTTACTTTGTAGCCCTCAGTATAAATTAGACATTCATGAACATACTGCTCAAGCACATCCCTACAGCTTCTGTCACACTCGTTCTGGATAATTTGAGCATTGTATATACCTAGGTTAGTGTTGTCATCATCAGTAGTTAAATAAGATACGGTACGGCTCTATTTATCCGCCATTTTGCATAACCAATCTAATACACCTCCACAATTTTTATTCATTCCTTAGTCTGAAATGCATGTATGTATAATGAGACTTGCAGCTGCAGGAGATTTGCTACTGGCTATTCGGAAGACTTAAAGCACATGAGTAACAGCATAACTATAATCGGTGCGAATATCCAGTCTTAGTTAGAATAGACATGAACATAATGAGCACTTGACTACTTAGAGAATGAAATGCACTGGTGCAAGTCCAAGAATGAATTTAAAATGCACTGGTGCCACTTCGACTTGACTACTTAGAGAATGAAAAAAATATTTAAAATGCATTGGTGCTACGTACTTCGAGAATGAATAAAAAGGGATTTGCACTTCGAAAAAAAAAGAAAAAAAAAGCCACTCCACCAGGCATGTGGCCAACATACCCAGTGAAGCGGGGGCACTCAGTATTGTCAAACAGAGAGTGGGTAAGGGGAGGAACCAGAGCTGTTCCCAGCCAGTGCTCTGGACCACCTACCAGCTTCCAGCCCGGGATCGATCTCTCGACCACCGGAACCTTTATACTGGTAGTCCCCACTTCTACTGATTGCGCCACATGAGTGACCCGAGAGGAGTAGTTGAAATTTTGCCTTTATACCCACACTTCAGTGAGGTTGAAAAAAGAAAAAGTACTAGCTGACAGGCTTGAACCCAGGTAGCAGGAAAACCTTGTTCCACTTGCAAGAGCTTTAGCCACTAGACCATCAACTCGTGGTGTGCGTGATATGTAGCATCCCTACCAGGCTCGAATGCACTGGCAACCAACATAAAGCCAGCCACAATACATACTGAACCTTGGAACTAATATTTGCTATTGGTTAGAAAGCTTGCTATTAGGAAGAAATCAGGCACATGAGCTACAACATAGTCTTATGGGGAACTGGGGGGATCAAATCACCAAAGACACACACTCCTAATTCAGTAGCTACCATAGATGCATGAATCCTGATTATGGGGTGTCAGTGCTAGGGCAAGTGCATATCAAACAATGCGTGCATGTTGCACGATCAATGCTAGCTTATGGAGAGGATGCAGTATGTATTTGTTTTAAACACAAGTACAAATCCCCTAAATTTCCCAGTTATACATACATACCAGTGCAGTAAGTATCAACAGCCGTCTGATAGTTCTCTCCAGCAAATTCGCATTCATCAGCAAACTGTTACAGCTTCCTTTGCACTCCCCCCGGCCAAGCTGCACGTTGCACCGCCCTAACTCAGTGTTGGTATCTCCAACATCATAGCAGCTGAGGTTCTGGCACTCGGCAAAAGTGGACATGAGGAGCAGGATACATGCCACAGTAAGCACAGAGCTCGCCATATTCTCTAGTCAGATATCCAGCGAAAGCCTGAAGGTGGTCCTATAAGCCGAGGGGGATAGTTTGTCGCTGAGTGTTGTGCGAGTTGCTCCAATGTTTTATACTCTCCATGGAAAATAATGGTGGGTGGACAATGAAAGGTGACTGATGGATATAATGCTCCATCAATCTGTGTCGAAAATGGAGCGACGCGTTAAAAGCTGCTATTTATCCCAGTCGCTATACTAGCCATTACAGTTGTCTCCCCCGCTAAAGAAACAATAAGATAGAAAGTTGACGGAGAAAGCAAACTCTCATCTAAGTGTTTTGCTTACAATGAAGGTTCTAGAAGAAGCTCTCCTTACTGTTGTACTGGAATAGGGCCGGAAAGCACTTAGCAAAGACTGTAAACATAAAATGAAGCTTTCAGTTGCAGGTGCTTTATCTTGTCTGTGAGCTATTATATAGCGTGCAGTTATTATTAGTCCCCAGTTTGGCTCTTCTGTTCTGATGCAGACATGCTGTATAATAGGAGAGTAAAAACAATTAGGGAGAGATAGTAAAAGAGGACACGAAGGAATTAAAGTGGCTACATAGCTAATTATTGTACGTAGTGTTGAAATTAGCTGAATTGGAAATGATAAAAACATGCATCCTTTTTGATTAAAGCTGACGAACAAAATTAAAGCTCACAAGGCAGTAGAGAGGATGAAATTCTACGCAGATCTCTCAAGCAACTCTGTTGCTTATAATAAAGCCTCCGGATTATTATACAGCCGTCATTAGATAATAAAGTTGTACACAACAAAGAAAAAGTAATCATTCATTGCAGCAGAGGTCATGGTATAATACACCATAATAATTTGATGGAGGGTGAGAATAGCTATCTGTGAGCAGCGATTAGAACTTGTGGAGGTATTCTGAGAGCTGTAGGGATGCAGATTGGTGGGTAGGGGAAGAGTGAGATGGGGATGAGGGAGGAGGGAGGAGAGGGGACAGAAAGGGTGAAGGGAGTGAGGCTGTGAGGAGTGAGGGTGAGATGGTGGGGAGGGGAGGGTGTGAGGGGAGGAGTCCACTTGGTGGGGAAGGGGAAGGAGAGGGTGTGATCTGTGAGGAGGGGAGGGGAGATTCGGAATCTCTTGTCCACAGCAGCTACAGCTATCTTTTCTCTCTTTCTCCACTTGGCTCTTCTGTTCTGGAACCACACCTGAACAATCAATGGAGGAACGGGGGAAATTTCATGCCAAATGCTTTTCAAAACACAGGGAAATGGGCAAAGAACATGACTACATATAGAATAGTTGCTCTTTGTTGGTTCTCTTAGTCTTTGCCCTGAGTATAGGGATTCCTTTTGACAAACCTCTTCATGGCATAAATTAAAGGCTTAGCGCAATAGTGTAATAATAATATGTAACTGAGTTAAGCTCTTGGCAACAACACCATGAAGTTGGCTGAGATAAAGCACAAAGCATTGAAGTTAGGCTGATGTGTATGTATTCTGTATTCCAACACCTCAAATATTACTGTACTTAAAAAGTTGAGCTATAAATTTGAGCTCTGGGACAAAAGTTCAACTCTATGTAAATTACCACAAGTTACCCGCTGGACCTATTTACCTGAACTCTGGACTCTGGTAGGTGTATGTGGGCGGCGAGCTGCTCTCTGAGGAGGACGTCTGGATAGTGAGTCTGTTTGAACACCAGCTCCAGCTCCTCCAGCTGGGCCTGTGAGAAGGTGGTCCGACTTCTCTTGAGACGTCTGTCGCAGTCGCCGGGGGACGCCGGCTGGCAACAGGTCGAGGAACATGAGGGGTTGTCGGGCTGCATAGCACTGCAGCTGTCCCCCGAGAGGTTGTCACAATCTAATAAAACATAAAACAGACAGTAAAAAGTGGTAGAATTGCTAGCTGCAAGTTTGCAACATTGCACTGAAATATGTTGCAATTCTAACTAAAAGGGGGGAATGACTAATTGACTAAGCGCTCACTTACCGGAAATATCGTCTTCTCCGTCTGACGTGCTCTTTCTCTTGCGGCACACTACGACAGAGGGCGGCGGACGATGCTGCTCGATCGCCGCGTGCGGTTGTGGCGCACGTGACTTCACGGTCGTAGTTTCGGCACTAGTCGCAGTGGCCAACGCCGCAGGTATTAGCGGAGGGGGCGAATCCTTCCCGACGTGTCGTTGACGGACGAGGGATGCAACGAATTTCGCATCTTTTCCGTCATTTTCGTACAGATCTTGCGGCCGTCGCGATTCAGCGGTAGAGCGATTTGCTCGGAGCTTGTCTCCCAGTATACTCTCAATAGTAAACATCATATCTGCAGTCTTCGCCGAAAAACCTTGGTAGAGAAACGACTCCGCGAGAGCCCGGAGGATAAAACTGCGCCGGGTCGCCCGACCTTCGGCTTATAAACCGTGCGAGCGACAGACAATGAAGCGATGTAAACAAACCTAATTCGGGTCTAATGATTTTATAGTACGCAGTCCAGGGGATGTGTACCGAGATGATTATGCTTCAGAAGCACCGCGCGGTGAGCTACGACGGAGGCATTCCACGGAATCCGCATGCAACGTAAGCAGAGAGAAGTGCCGAAACACGACGCATTAGCAGGGCGGGGGCGCGGCACGTGTATCTGGTCGCACAAGGCGAGTGGGTGGAAGATATAAGTAGTTGCGTCAACAGGAAAGATAGCCGCTGAATAAGGTATCTTGTATTGGCATAATTATTACATATCACAGCCTCTCATGCTCAGCGTGAATTCAGACGAGGTTAGGTCACAAACCACAGCAAACTGCAAGTGCAGAAACCCATCGCGCCACAAATATTCATTTCTTAATCTGACAAAAAAAACTGTGTGTCATTAATATTGTACGTAGCAGCTCACACTTGCTAACGAAACAGAAAGGAGGCTATTTCTACTCTTTACTATATGCGCTAACTATAGTTCACATTATTAGTGTAACATTTGACATGTCCTATATGTACTTCCACAAACACACAACTTTGTTACACGTCGTAATAGTAAACAAGTCCACGCCTTAATAACTGGAGCTATTTATGATAATGTGATTGTAGTAAATAGAGACTGTGTAAGACATAGTAAGGGGATTAGTACACGGCCTATTTAGTCTAGAGAGGAAGTAGAGGACATGTGCAGATCACCTGTCAGTCACAACAAGTTTGGCGTACTGGGAGACCATAAAACAGGTCAGGCAATGCACAAATAAATCATTAATAACCACTTGGACCAACGTCAACACTGAACAATGTGGTACAATTAGTATATTTATTGCCGAGTGTAACAATAGGAATATTATCACCTGTAATAAGGCACATGAGCCAAAAAGTCATTATATTTGTAATTACAGGCACACACCCTCAGCCAAAGATGGGGACAGGGAAATAAAACGCACATCAAAACACGCGATGAAAAATGGTGGAGTTTTCAATTGGGAGAGAGAGGGAGGAGAGGGAAGGAAAAGTGTTTGTTTCCCGACTTGCATCTGATTTCATCCACCAAGAATGTCCGGGTGGGGGTAATTTGGCTGTGAGATGACAGGGTTTGCCCCCAGAATTGCTGCAGACACAATGTCATACATGCCAAAAGCTAAAGTTAACTTATTAGCCTAAATACATTAACAAAATTATCCACTCATTGTGTCAATAATATGTGACCCACCATGTAAAGGGTGCACAAAAAATTTTTAACTAAGCTATGGTATTGCTAAAATCTGCTCAGTATAGTTCACATCCTATTATAGATCATACATACTTTTTAGCATAAATTGGGAAGTACACACATGTATATCCAGTAATGCTGGAAACCTGTAATCTGTCAGAGGAAGTGGTGGTCAGATCAGCTACATCACCCACACACCAGAGCAGAGACATGTGAAACACAGGATCCTGCAGTGACACATACATACACCATCCAAACACCAGAGTCAGCTACTGAATGGGAGAAAAAGTCCACCCAAATATATACATAATTATGGATAGCCAGTCTACAATATTCCAAATTTCATTCCTTGGGCATCTTTATCTTATTCAGGTGCGAAACAGCATAGCTGAAAGCATAAGAAACTTGGAAATTCAAGCTATTATAATTATTATATATGTATAGTATAGGTAAACAAGACCTGGTAAAACTGCTGAAGATTGAAACGTGCAAAGCAGTGGTCTACGTCTTTAACTAGTGCCTGCAGCTGCAAAGGGAGAGGGAGGGAGGAGGAGAGAAGAAGATAACAATTTGAAAATGATAAACAAGACCACCTGCGTCTAGACCCAGTCACATGCACCTGGGCAGTATAAAGATTTGCAGCATCAAAGCAAGGCCCAGAGGCAAGCACTTTACATACGACCTACATTCTGATAACCTAGAATCAGGTATACATGTGGACATCTTGTGTATAATAGGACCATTAGTCCCTCAAAGCCAAGGAAATTTGTTGATCATGGGCCAATTACAGATCAAGGAAGGCCAATAACACACGTTTACAAACTCCCTAACTGCACTGCTGTATTGGCACACGGAGAGAAAGAGAGAGAGAGAGGGGAAGAGAGGGAGGGAAAAGGTATTGCCTCAATGTTGGCTAAATATGAAGAGAGCTTATTCCAGGAATACATGCCGAGCTAAGTAGAGGCATGCGTCAGTAAATTCATCAAAGACTAGTGAGGTCCATGTTGGGAATGGTAGTGAGAGTGGCCAGCCAACACAGACAACCTGCAGTGCACGGTACTCTAGTACACACTAGTCCTATAGCAACACTCTCTCCATGTGTACACATTGACCATTAGCATATCGATGCAGCAACCGATCTACACACATAGATATAATCATAGAGATGGTCTATGGCGGGAAAGTGTCGAGGGAGTAACATTTGAGGAATGAAACTTTCGTGACTCGTTGGGAAAGAAGAATTTCACGGAAGTACATAATCTTAGCACAAGGCTTACATACTGGGTGATAGTGAGTTTTTGTTAAGCACATACGTTTCGTGCTAAGCATTTGCTGGTATATACGAAAGCAACTACTACACTCGTGCGCTATACTCTGCATTGGGTAGCTACACAAGAAGGTATGCCATCTTGTGTACAATTATAGCGGATTGTCAGGTTTTGTATCACGCACAGAATTTAATGTCTCAAATGTATGAAGTGTGCATGCAATACTGTACAAAGATGAAAGTCAAAATGAAGCAGAATATGATTGGAAAAAGGTCATTAACACATGACTGTAGAAGCATTGATGAACGATCATGAATGAGAAAGGTAGACAAGTTATGAGAGACTGTTCAGAAGGAGCCAAGAACGGATGGGAAGATATGAAGACAGACTTTGACAATCAGGAGCTTGTTCCTGTAATAATTAGCCTCGATCAAGTCTGCCCATTATCTCCAGCATTCTATTGAGGACAGGTGCACTTTGTCAGCTACGTATGTACTATATGTACCATACACTGCAAGCACCACACACTACGCACAGCACAGCAGAGCTCATGAAACATGATCCTCTAGTAGTACAAATGGATGGGCCGAGTGCAGCATTTCTAGGGAACACTTTTATTGCTGGTCATTAAGAGTTGTTGGCAAATGGAAGAGGGGGAGAGTGAGGTGAAAGAAGACGTGCCTGGCTGCTGGCTTCCCTCCTCGCGTGTGGTGTATTTGTGGACAAAAGCCACATAATTGCCAAATATTTGAAACACTTATTGCCACAGTAACGGGCCCCTTTGAAGGCTTTTGTGGCCGGTCCAGCCTGTGGCAGCTCAGGTAATGAGTTGGTACTAGTGGCGCGTCTTCTGTCTGCGGTATCAGAACGGGGCGTGAGAGGAGGGAAGAGGGAAGTAGACAAAACTGGTCAATAGTTCAGTTGACTGTATGGCAAGACGTTGCAAGCAGCCGGGTCCAAACTCATGAAAGGAGGGCGTTGGTACGCTAGGTGTATACATAGTACACAGGTGTGGCACACTTGGATATGTAACTAGTGCATTTTACAATGCAAGTGTACGTAGATGTGACTTCCTTGATCTACAACTGAGCAGCTATGATTGATGACCAGAGGCGAAATGGATACGTACATCACAGTTGAGAAGGAGACTAATTATTACACATCGCAGTGAAAAGAGCTTATGATGGGAGTGTTCAAACACTTGGGAAAGCATCAGAAATTAAATCATCATTGTTTCTACATCCAAAGGAGTGGTAGGTCATATCCTTATGACTCACCACTAACCAACTCATTGGCTCTAATGCACCACAACAACAACAAACACGTCATTTAGATACCTCTTTGATGGTACGTATAATTGTACCATGCTCATACTTATTACTGTAATTAGTGAGAAACAAGGGACATGCCAACTTTACGAGAGCATATGGAGTAAATCTTTACAGCGGTGTGGAGTGACTCACAAAGAACCATGTTGAATATCGGATCATGACCACTGGAAGTGGCAGCACACTCTGTCCAGTGCTCCCAGACATCAAAAGACAGCAAACACCAACACATTCACGACAACCATGCAACACATTATACCCAATTTAGCTCGTTAGGGCATTTCATCGCCGTGCTAACGAACATTCCTTTGGTGTGTAGTGGCTGGCAGGTTTAGCACTGTGGGGAGTGTATGTGTTGGTGTTGGCCAACAAAAACTTTGAACCAGGAAGCCAATCTCGGACGCCAGTCAACAATAATTCTTGAGGCCAATGCTATAACTACCGGTGGCTCTGTGTGTACAAACACAGCTACATACGCATGCACCACACCCTCGCTCCATATAAACAATAGAATACAGTGTCCTTGTCAATATATTGACACTCGTCCACCCACGAAAATGCCGGTATCCACATAAGGAGCATGCACAGGAAAAATAATGGAATTAAAAATCCATCGCTCCTTTTATCGGTGCACTTGTGAGTTTACGTTCTCAAGCAGAATCTCCACAGATTAAAGGTCCGCCTACTAATGCAGTAGCTACTTGTCTCCCATATATTCCACTATTGGATAAGCATGGCAAGGAGGGCTTTAATGGCTCTATAGTAACCACATTGCATGGGAGGTTCTGTGTGAGAATGTTGACATTAGTTGATGAGTGTGTAGAGCAACAGCAACTAAACTGGGCAGGAGATGATATGACAGTTGCTTTCATGTCCAACGGTATATAGAGGAAGAGGTGACGTGATTTGCTAATGAAATTGTAGGGGGATGTTGAAAGGATACACATATAGATATGATGTAATGTTGGCACACATGGTGTATTATATTACCATACGTTCTACAGCTGATATCACCCTGTCTGTATGGACAAGTGTTTACAGCTGACATCAGTCTAATGTGAGTTGATTGTATACATGTGATCCAGCACTGTTTATACCATTACAGCTGATATCAATAAGTATTAGTAGCATTACACTTTATACATCAAAGCTGATAATCAGCTCATTTGAATAAGATTAGCAGTAGGTAAAGGTGTACAAGAGGAAAATATTTGCCATTTTATCTATGATTAGTACAAGTTTTAAGCCAATAATTATTATTGGATGCAGAAATGAAGACAGCCAGAGCGATCTTTGCATTAGCTTTGCTCAAAGTACACTTGCTTTCTACCTCTCTTTCTGGCTTGCACAATCTTCATCATTCTTCCAGTCAACCAGATGTGAGATCAAGAGCGAGATCTGACACATGAACCAGTGAAGTGAGCTATCCGTGCCAGCGCTTACATAACTCAACTCTATGTCCAGCAAACAACACAAACAACACAGTGTTGCTGACTACAAACACGTACCATTTTCAGTCAAGCTACGTACCTCATGTTATGTAAGGCCATGATTTATGTAACGGTGAGTGTGCAAGGTCCATAGTTTCCCAATGACATTGTCATAACATATTCCATATTTCAGTGGGTAGCAAAGTGGCCACACCATGAATGAGAAATACGAACGCAGTGTTTCTGGCCATACTATTGTAACCTCCCATAGCACTCCATTATTATTCCGTCCCATTATAGCTTCACCTAATGGGTTTAGGTATCACACAGCCATGAAAAAGAAAAATGAAGCATTTGAAATGTGGGTACATGCCTATATTTTCTGATACACATATTCAACATTTCATTCAGGAGATTCTGTGTATCCACAATAATTGCCCTCAAATCCATAATATGGAACTCCATTATGTAACAAGTTATGCGCAGCTCCATAATCAGTCACATTCGCATGAGAAAAACGATATCTTATTATGTAACAGCTTTCTATACTTCTATACTATGTATCGTGCACAATATGGATTGTAGTTGTGCTGTATTGTATTATAGATAAGAACCCTGCTATAGAGCCGTCCTGTTTGCCAGTAGTAAGAGTTAAATATGCATGGTCCTGGGTTTAATTTGCCTGACCGATGCCGGGCGTCAATGCAATCGCCATAATTTTCAGAGATTGGGCTCTCCACGAATGACAAAGAGTTTAGTGTTTCAGCCCAAGATTTTCACCTCACATACTCCATGTAACGATTCAGTTGAATTCTCTGTGTACCGCCATTAGCTGTTCTCACGTGTCACACAGCAGTGATAATGTTAGCTCACATGCTCACTCACTTACATCTCTGTAACATAGTTTACTTTATTGCCACTCCATGGCAACCAACTCAGTCCATTTCAGTCACATATTCTTGATACCACCACCTACTGTCATCACCTACCACCCTCCCATGATAATGTGTCTATCTCCATAATATCCCATCATTGCGGTCCTCATTATGCAACATGATGCTGACATGCACAATGAGGTAATGCAATACGGGAAATATAAAACTGCACCGGTGGTCTAAGTGCTTCAAAATCCCTAAAACATCAAAAAACCTCCAAACTCGTCACTCGTAGCTTGCAAACATCTGTGAGAGAGTTCACTTTCCGAGGCAAGAAGCCAGGGCTGGCATAATTAGTGCAAATACACACACACGTGCAGGAAACTCTTTCATTACGTCGTCCACAGTCAATTTTTCAACCCACACTAAAGTGTTGGATGGAGTTACAGTAGCATGCCACTAGTTGGTAAAACAGATAGCGGACGCAGTGTGGCTGTCATGGTAACCCGGCCCTGGGGCTTCAGTCTTTGAAGTCCAGAGTCAATATTGACACTCAACCTCTGAACACTTTGGTCTTCTCCTAGTTAGGGACCATTCCTGAGAGTAGAAATGAAGATGGCGAAAATTCTCCATGGCTTCGCCCACATGGTGTGAAGTTTAACAAAACCCTTTGCAATGCCTGGCTTGTGTTACTCTCTGGGCATAGTATAGCTTGCACTAAAGAGCAACTCATATCTGATTCCTGGATGAAGGTATTCAAACTGAGCGAATGTATTCACAAAACTGAGTGTAAAGAGAAGCTAACCGGATGCATATTAACTAGTACATTGACCTGCGGTGGAAGGAGAAAATTATCTCCATGTGAATAAGTAAAGTACTATCATCTGCCATTATCAGTTGTGTAGTAACTGAAGGACTTTGGGGCCGAAATGTCCCATTGTGCTATGATTCATCAACATGTTATTGCGGCATTGCAGGGTGCCAGTAAACAGAGCAACGCTGGCAAGATAGGGTGACTATGACTACATTGCGTGAGGGTGAGACAACAAGCATTGCGTGAGATTAACCAAACTCTCGGCTTCCGCTCTGCAGTCAAAAACTGTAAACACAGTACTAGAGATACAAGATCTTATGGCACACTCCTAGCTGAGCATCTTGGGGGAGAAGTCGAGTGGTATAAAAACCTGTGGTTCAGCTCTCTTCTGCAAGAACTATAGAGAATCACTGAAGTATCACTGAGAGAAAAAGAATGTTTGCGGCACTGAAAAACCTTTTGCCACTTGGTATACTGGTAGCAATCATATGTGTCAGTGACTGTACAGGCCATGATGAAGGTTAGTGAGAAGATGTATGCACATACTAATACTAGACGTTCCCATTTCTGTTTTTCAATCTCATAGGCTCAGGTTCTTGTCCGCAGTTTGAGCTACTGAAGGGAAGGGACGGGAGAGATGGGAGAGATGGAGCAAAGGGAGAAAAGGGAGAGGTCGGGGGTATTGGTCTTCCTGGACCCCAGGGAGAGATTGGGGGCCCTGGTATTCAGGGGCCAATAGGAATATCTGGTCCCTGGGGGGCAGTGGGGGGGAGAGGTGAGAGGGGAGAGAGGTGAGAGGGGGAGAAGGGGGAGAAGGGAATGAGGGGGGACCCTGGGCTAAGAGGTCGTCAGGGAGAACAGGGTGCCCAAGGTCTGCCAGTTGGAGGAGCTGTCTACACTCGCTGGGGAAACACCACCTGTCCAACCGGCCAGGGAACACAGCTGGTTTACTCTGGAAGAGCTGGGGGGACAAGACTTGACCACAAAGGAGGGGCAGCCAACTATCTATGCATGCCGGATGATCCTGACTATCTCCAGTACATCCTAGGAGTGACCAGTCGGAATTCCGTGGCTCCGGTTGAGTATTCTTTCGCTACAATGCCATCTCTGTCTCAGTTAAACTACCACAATGTCCCCTGTGCAATGCGCTATGTAGCCACCAGAGGCAGTGTGCTGATGGTTCCTGCCAAGACCCAGTGTCATGCAGGCTGGACCAGAGAGTACTATGGTTACATCATGTCTAACCGTCATAACCTTGATGGTCGTACAATGTATGAGTGTATTGACAAAGACCCTGAGTCAGTTCCTGGACTGAATGCTGACAGTAATCCACAGTGTATCTTTGAGTTGAATGAGGCATACTGCAGTGGATTCTCCTACCCTCCTTATGATGCAGAGAAAGAACTGACGTGTGCTGTTTGCACTCGTTGAAACAAACACTATGCTTCAACAAAGTTAACAAACATTGTATGTAGAATGTATATAGTTATGTATGTATGCCTTACACTTTGATCTATATGTGTAGAAAATAAACTCATTGCATAAACTTGATGGTGGTGTTTGATGGCACAGAACTCACAAATTTGAGATGTATAGTGTGAGATTGTCTACTGATGCCCACGTCATAAACAATTTGAGATTATACTTATTGTCTAGTTTTTTTTCTGTTTCACACATAGATATATCCCCACTGACTGATTGAGGACTTTAGTTAACATACTGTAGTGTTTCATCTGCAACATACTGTAGTGTTTCATCTGTAAACTGCTAATGTATGGTGTCAACACATTTGTCACTTATATACCTGTTTGGGAATTACCTTCATCTTTTGGTGATATGCTTAGAAGGAAAACAGAGTGTTTACAGTATGTGGGCACTCCGTACCAACATGGTGCAATGGGATAACGCTCTGCACCATGCATAGGTAAGCCTATATTTTTTTGCTATAAAGTAAAGAGAGGGATAAGAGGTTGAATGAAAACTGAATGAAGAAGAGCCTTTTCTCAAATAAAAGATGCTCTTCTAAAGGGGAATAGTAGCATACTCGCTCTCTGTCATGCTTTTACTCTGAGAAGAAGTAAACCAATCAACTTACATTGTGGCAGGTTTAATGAGACAGTACCGTACATTAAACTCTCACATATGTATGAAATGCAGTGAATGAGTCTTGCACTGCACAGTAAACAGGGCCACATCAGAAAGAGTGGGGGTGGATAAGAACACCTTGCGTGAGGGAGAGAAAACATGCCTGCGCCCTGTGCGAACTCACTGCTTCCACTCCCCATCCAGTATACAATACTGTAATGCTGTATCTTGAAGAAGAAAAGACCTAGTCAAGCAGTTTGAGCAAACTTTGGGGGCAATAAAAGGCCTCTCACTTCCATTCACCCCACTAGCCAAAGCAGATCACTATCAGGAAGAAAAAAATGTTTCTGGGCATCAAAATCCTTCTCCAACTTGGCATATTGACTGGTTTCATTGCAGTCAGTGTCGACACAAGTCAAAATGAAAGTTAGAGAGATATGCATGGAGCAGATATATTGCTTTCACTGCTGTTTTCCGTTTTGCAATCTCATAGGCTCAGATTTTTGTCCACAGTTTGAGCTAGGGATAGGAGAGATGGGAGAGATGGGAGAAAAGGGAGAAAAGGGAGATCCAGGAATACTGCCAGTTGGAGGAGCTGTCTACACTCGCTGGGGAAACATAACCAGGGAGTAAAAATGAAGATGACGAAAATTCTCCATGGCTTTGCCTACTTTGTGTGCATTGGAGGGGAGTTTAACAAAAAACTCTTTGTTTGCAATGTTTGGCTTGTATTACTTAGAAAAATCACCCTCTGTGCATATTACAAGTGTGTGATTTCTGGATGAAGGTAAACTAAGCGAACGTATTCACAAACTGAGTATAAAAGTTAGCTGGCTGTATAAACTAGCTATGGTGGAGCTAGAAAACGATCTCCGCGAATAAGTAAAGTACTATCATCTGCCATTATCTTCATAGTATTTACTGAAGAAAGTGTTTAGGAATAAATGTCCTACTGTTCTATTTTGCCATGTTATCTCAAAGAGTTATTGGCAGGAAAGTATTGCGACATTGCAGTGTGCCAGTAAACAGAGCCACGCCGGCAAGATAGGGTGACTATGACTACATTGCGTGAGGGTGAGACAACAAGCATGCGTGAGATTAACCAAACTCTCGGCTTCCGCTCTGCAGTCACAAACTGTAAACACAGTACTAGAGATACAAGATCTTATGGCACACTCCTAACTGAGCATCTTGGGGGAGAAGTGGAGGGGTATAAAAACCTGTGGTAAAGCTCTCTTATACTAGAGAAGAACTATAGCAAAACAGAATCACGGAAGTATCACTGGGAGAAGAAAATTTTTGTGGCACTGAAAAACCTTGTGCCACTTGGCATACTGGTAGCTATCACATGTGTCAGTGACTGCACAGGCCATGATGAAGGTTAGTGAGAAGATGTATGCACTGACTCATAGAGACTTCGATATTCCCATTTCTGTTTTTCAATCTCATAGGCTCAGGTTCTTGTCCGCAGTTTGAGCTACTGAGGGGAAGGGACGGGAGAGATGGGAGAGATGGAGCAAAGGGAGAAAAAGGAGAGGTCGTGGGGTATTGGTCTCCCTGGACCCCAGGGAGAGATGGGGGCTCCTGGTATTCAGGGGCCAATTGGATATCTGGTCCCGGGGGGCGTGGGGAGAGAGTGAGAGGAGGGAGGTGAGAGGGGAGAGGAGGGGGGAGAAGGGATGAGGGGAGACCCTGGGCTAAGAGGTCGTCAGGGGGAAACAGGGAGCCCAAGGTCTGCCAGTTGGAGGAGCTGTCTACACTCGCTGGGGAAACACCACCTGTCCGACGGTCAGGGAACACAGCTGGTTTATTCTGGAAGAGCTGGGGGACAAGATATGATCACAAGGGAGGGGCAGCAACTATCTCTGCATGCCAGATGATCCTGGCTATCTCCAGTACATCAGGAGGAGTGACTAACAAGAATTTCGTGGCTCCGGTCGAGTACTGGTTTGCTACAATGCCATCTCTGTCTCAGTCCAACCACCACAATGTCCCCTGTGCAGTGTGCTATGTAGCCACCAGAGGCAGTGTACTGATGGTTCCTGCCAAGACCCAGTGTCATGCAGGCTGGACCAGAGAGTACTATGGTTACCTCATGTCTAACCATTATAGCTTTGATGGTCGTACAATGTATGAGTGTATTGACATAGACCTGAGTCAGTTCCTGGGACTGAATGCTGGCAGTGACCCAAGGTCTTTGTTTGAGCTGTTGAGCTGGGGGGGACAAGGTATGATCATAAAGGAGGGGCAGCCAACTATCTGTGCATGCCAGATAATCAGACTTTCTCCAGTACATCAGTGGAGTGACCAGCCAGAATTTCGTGGCTCCGGTCGAGTATGCATTTCATCTATGCCATCTCTGTCTCAGTTTAAAACTACCACAATGTCCCGGTGGCAGTGCGCTATGTAGCCACCAGAGGACACTGTACTGATGGTTCCGCCAAGACCCAGTGTCATGCAGGCTGACCAGAGAGTACTATGGTACCTCATGTCAACGCCATGACCTTCATGGTCGTACAATGTATGAGTGTATTGACAAAGAACCTGAGTCAGTTCCTGGACTGAACACATACAGTAATCCAAGGTCTTGTTTTACTTCAATGAGATATACTGCATGGATTTCTCCTGCCCTCCTTTATGATGCAGAGAAGAAAGAACGGACGTGTGCTGTTTGCACTCGTTGAACCAAACACTACTCCAACAAAGACAATGTAGTTTAAAGAGACACAAACATTGTGTAATACTGAGACTTTAGTCATGAATGTTTGATTGATATACTGTATGCTTTTACTTTGATCGCTGTATACAAACATATAAACTCTGTTGTTTGATTAAGCAATACTGGCACAGATCTCACAAAATTGAGATGTATAGTTGAGGTTGCCTCCTGATGGCCACGTCATAAAGACATTGAGATTATATTATGTCTAGTTTTTTTTCTTTTTCACACATAAATATATCCCCACTGATGATTGAGGACTTTAGTTAACATACTGTAGTTTTCATCTGCAAACTATGCTAATGTATGGTTGTCACACATTTGTTACTATATACCTGTTGGGAATTACCTTATGTTTGATGATTATGCTTAGAAGAAAAGAAAACGAGTGTTAACAGTATGGGGCACTCTGTACCAACATGGTGCGATGGGACAACGCATGCGCCATGCGTAGGTATAAGCCTATATTTTGCTATACTGCAATAAGTAATGAGAGGGAAGAGAGGTTGAATGAAACTGAACGAAGAAAGAGCCTTTCTCCATTAAGCCTGACAAATAAAGATGCTCTTCTAAAGGGGAATAGTAGCATTTTTCTTACTCTCTGTCAATGCTTTTACTTTGAGAAGAATCGTGACTTTACATGTGGCAGGTGAAATGATTATAGTGCGTACATTAAACTCTCATACTCTGTATGAAATGCAGTGAATCAGTCTGTTGCACTGCCCAGTAAACAGGGCCACATCAGAAAGAGTGGGTTGGTGCTAAGAACACATTGCGTGAGGGAGAGAAAAACATGCCTGTGCCCTGCGTGAACTCACTGCTCGCTCTCCATCAGTATACAATACTATAATGCTGATCTTGGATAAGAAAACACTAGTCAAGCATTTGAGCAAAGTTTTAGGGCCATTAAAGGCCTCTCACTTCATTCGCCCCACTAGCCAAAGCAGATCACTGACGGTAACTATCAGGAGAAAAAAAATGTTTCTGGGCCTCAAAATCCTTTTCCGTTTGTATGCTCATCAGGCTCAGGTTTTGTCCGCAGTTTTAACTACTGAGGGGAAGTATGGGAGAGATGGGAGAGAGGGAGCAAAGGGAGAAAAGGGAGACTCTGGATACCGCCAGTTGGAGGAGCTGTGTTACGTTCGCTGGGGAAACACCACCTGTCCACCAGGGAGAAGAAATGAAGATGGCGAAAATTCTCCATCGCTTTGCCTACTTGGTGCATTGGAGGGGGTTAACAAACTCCTTGCATGTCTGGTTTGTAGCAAATTCTCTCCGTGCAGAGTATAACTTGCCCAAAAACAAGTGTGTATATGTATGATTTCTGGACGAGTGTTCAACTGAGGCGAACGTATTCAGACCATTAAGCGAGACGCTAGCGTAGTTGCATATTAACCAGCGTATAGAGAAAGGAGAAAATACTCTCATGTGAATAATGTAAGGAGCGCAGCTAGGTGTGTCGTTACTGAGAAACAGTTTGTGGTTGGTCTTAACTATCCTACAGTTCTATGTTTATCCTCAAGAGTGATGGTATAAATGATGTAGCATTGCAGTGGCAGTAGCAGAGCACGCCGGCAAGATAGGTGGACTATGACTACATTGCGTGATGGGTGAGACAACACGCATTGCGGTGAGAGTAACCAAACTCCGGCTCCGCTCTGCAGTCAAAATAACTGTAACACAGTACTATAGATACAAGACCTTATGGCACACTCCTACTGAGCATTCTGGGGAGAGAGAAGTCGCGGGTATATTATAAAAACCTGTGGTAGAGCTCTCTCTCGCAGAAATAGCAAAGAGATCACTGAGTATCCCGGAGAGAAGAAAAATGTTGTGGACACTGAAAAACCTTGCGCCACTTGGCATACTGGTAGCAGGAATCATCGCTGTCAGTTACTGTACAGGCCATGATGAAGGTTAGTGAGAAGATGTATGCACAGACTCATAGAGACTACATTTCCGTTTTTCAATCTCATATGCTCAGGTTCTTGTCCGCAGTTTGAGCTACTGAGGGGAAGGGATGGGAGAGATGGGAGAGATGGAGCAAAGGGAGAAAAGGGAGAGGTCGGGGGTATCGGTCTCCATGGACCCAAGGGAGAGATGGGGACACCTGGTATTCAGGGGCCAGTCGGAATATCTGGTCCCCGGGGAGCAGTGGGGGAGAGAGGTGAGAGGGGAGACAGGGGGGAGAAGGGAATTAGGGGAGACCCTGGGCTAAGAGGTCGTCAGGGGGAACAGGGAGCCCAAGGTCTGCCAGTTGGAGGAGCTGTCTACACTCGGTGGGGAAACACCACCTGTCCAACCGGCCAGGGAACACAGCTGGTGTATTCTGGAAGAGCTGGGGGGACAAGATTTGATCATAAAGGAGGGGCAACCAACTATCTCTGCATGCCAGATGATCCTGACTATCTCCAGTACATCAGTGGAGTGACCAGTCGGAATTTCGTGGCTCCAGTCGAGTATTATTTCACTACAATGCCATCTCTATCTCAATTCAACCACCACAATGTCCCCTGTGCAGTGTGCTATGTAGCCACCAGAGGCACTGTACTGATGGTTCCTGCCAAGACCCACTGTCATGCAGGCTGGACCAGAGAGTACTATGGTTACCTCATGTCTAACTATCATAACAATGATGGTCGTACAATGTATGAGTGTATTGACATAGATCATGAGTCAGTGCCTGGACTGAATACTCGCAGTGATCCAGTGTCTTTCCTTCACACTAATGAGATATACTGCAATGGATTCTCCTGCCCTCCTTATGATGCAGAGAAAGAACTGACGTGTGCTGTTTGCACTCGTTGAAACAAACAATATACTTCAACAAAGACAATGTAGTTTAAAAGATACACAAACGTATGTATAATACTAAGACTGTAGTTATGAGGTTATATATAATGTATGCCTTATATTTTGGTCGATAATGTGTAGAAAATAAACCACTTAATAAAGTCATTGCATAAACTTGGTGGTGGTGTTTGATAAAGCAATACTGGCACATAACTCCACAAATTGAGATGTACAGTGTGATATTGTCTACTGATGGCCATGTCATAAACAATTTGAGATTACACTTATTGTCTAGTTTTTTTTTCTGTTTCACACATAGATATATACTGAGTGATTGAGGACTTTAGTTAACATACTGTAGTTTTTCATCTGCAAACTATGGGCTAATGTATGGTGTCATTACATTTGCTGCTTATAAACCTGTTTGGGAATTACCTTCATCTTTTGGTGATATGCTTAGAAGGAAAACAGAGTGTTAACAGTATGGGGCACTCTGTACCAACATGGTGCGATGGGGTAACGCACTGCGCCATGCATAGGTAAGCCTACATTTTTGCTATACGGTAATAAAGTAAAGAGAGGGAAGAGAGGTTGAATGAAAACTGAATGAAGAAGAGCCTTTTCTCCCTTTAAACGTGACAAATAAACGATGCTCTTCTAAAGGGGAATAGTAGCATATTTTTCTCGCTCTCTGTCATGCTTTTACTTTGAGAAGAAGTAAACCAATCGTGACTTACAATGTGGCAGGTTAAATGATATAGTGCCGTGCATTAAACTATGTACGAAATGTATGAAATGCAGTGAATGAGTCTTTCACTGCCCAGTAAACAGGACCACAAATGAAATGTTTCTGGGCCTCAAAATCCTTCTGGAACTTGGCATATTGACTGGTTTCATTGCAGTCAATGTCAGCACAAGTCAAAATGAGAGTTAGAGAGATATGCACGGAGCAAATATATTATTTTCACTGCTGTTTTTCATTTTGCAATCTCATAGGCTCAGGTTTTTGTCCACAGTTTGAGCTGCTGAGGGGAAGGGATGGGAGAGATGGGAGAGATGGAGTAAAGGGAGAAAAAGGAGATCCAGGAATTCTGCCAGTTGGAGGAGCTGTTTACGTTCGCTGGGGAAACACCACCTGTCCACCAGGGAGAAGAAATGAAGATGGCGAAAATTCTCCATGGCTTTGCCTACTTCGTGTACATTGGAAGGGAGTTTAACAAACTCCTTGCAATGTTTGGCTTGTAGAAAATTCTCTCCGTGCATAAACAAGTTGTATATGTATGATTACTGGACGAAAGTGTTTGAACAGAGCGAACATATTCAGACCATTAATGAGCGTAAAGAGAAGCTAGATGGTTGCATATTAACTAGCTATAGAGAAAGGAAAAAATAATCCTCATGTGAATAATGTAAAGTAGCTAGCTAGTTGTGTAGTTACTGAAGAAAGTGTTTTGGTCTAAATGTCCTACAGTTCTATGTTTATCCTCAAAGAGTTATTGGTATAAAGTATTGTGGCATTGCAGTGTGGCAGTAAACAGAGCCACGACGGCAAGATAGGGTGACTATGACTACATTGCGTGAGGGTGAGACAACAAGCATTGCGTGAGTTAAACCAAACTCTCGGCTTCCGCTCTGCAGTCAAAAACTGTAAACACAGTACTAGAGATACAAGATCTTATGGCACACTCATAACTAAGCATCTTGTGGGAGAAGTCGAGGGTATAAAAACCCGTGGTAGAGCTCTCTTCTGCAGGAACTATAGCCAAAGAGAATCACCAAAGTATTGCTGGGAGAAAAAGAATGTTTGTGGCACTGAAAAACGTTCTGCCACTTGGCATACTGGTAGCAATCGTATGTGTCAGTGACTGCACAAGCCACGATGAAGGTTAGTGAGAAGATGTATGCACAGACTCATGGAGACTAGATATTCCCATTTCTGTTTTTCAATCTCACAGGCTCAGGTTCTTGTCCACAGTTTGAGCTACTGAGGGGAAGGGATGGGAGATATGGGAGAGAAGGAGCAAAGGGAGAAAAAGGAGAGGTCGGGAGTATCGGTCTCCCTGGACACCAGGGAGAGATGGGGGGCCCTGGTATTCAGGGGCCAGTCGGAATATCTGGTCCCCGGGGGGCAGTGGGGGAGAGAGGTGAGAGGGGAGAGAGGGGGGAGAACGGACTGAGGGGAGACCCTGGGCTAAGAGGTCGGCAGGGAGAACAGGGAGCCCAAGGTCTGCCAGTTGGAGGAGCTGTCTATGTTCGCTAGGGAAACACCACCTGTCCAACCGCCCAGGGAACACAGCTGGTGTATTCTGGAAGAGATGGGGGGACAAGACATGATCATAAAGGAGGGGCAGCCAACCATCTTTGCATGCCAGATGATCCTGACTATCTCCAGTACGTCAGTGGAGTGACCAGCCAGAATTTCGTGGCTCCGGTCGAGTACTGGTTCTCTACAATGCCATCTCTGTCTCAGTTCAACCACGACAATGTCCCCTGTGCAGTGTGCTATGTAGCCACCAGAGGCAGTGTACTGATGGTTCCTGCCAAGACCCAGTGTCATGCAGGCTGGACCAGAGAGTACTATGGTTACCTCATGTTAGCCTATCATGACCGTGATAGTCGTACAATGTATTGACATAGACCCTGAGTCAGTTCCTGGACTGAATACTCGCAGTGATCCAGTGTCTTTCCTTCACTTTAATGAGATATACTGCAATGGATTCTCCTGCCCTTCTTATGATGCAGAGAAAGAACTGATGTGTGCTGTTTGCACTCGTTGAAACAAACACTATACTTCAACAAAGACAATGTAGTTTAAGAGAGAAACAAACGTATGCAGAATAGTAAGACTGTAGTTATGAGGTTATATAATGTATGCCTTATATATTTTGATGGATAATGTGTAGAAAATACACCACTCAATAAATAAACTTGGTGGTGGTGTTTGATAAAGCAACACTGGCACAAAACTCACAAAATTGAGATGTACAGTGTGATATTGTCTACTGATGGCCATGTCTTGAGATTATACTTATTGTCTAGTTTTTTTCCTGTTTCACACATAGATATATCCCCATTGAGTGATTTAGGACTTTGTTAACACACTGTAGTGTTTCATCTGCAAATTATGGGCTAATGTATGGTGTCAACACATTTATTACTTATATATATACCAGTTTGGGAATTACCTCTGTACATGGTGCGATGGGATAACACACTGCGCCATGCATATAGGTAAGCCTATATTGTTGCTATAATATGGTAATAAAGTAAAGAGAGGGAAGAGAGGTTGAATGAAAACGGAATGAAGAAGAGCCTTTTCACCTCTTAAACTTGACAAATAAAAGATATTGTTCTAAAAGGGATATAATAGCATATTGTTTCTTGCTCTCTGTCATGCTTGAAGTAAACCAATCGTGACTTATATTGTGGCAGGTTAAATGAGATAGTGCCGTACATTAAACTCTCACATAATATGAAATGCAGTGAACAAGTCTTGCACTGCCCAGTAAACAGGGCCACATTAGAAAGAGTGTGGGTGGCTAAGAACACATTGCGTGAGGGAGAAAAACATGCCTGCGCCCTGCGCGAACTCACAGCTTCCGCTCTCCATTCAGTATACAATACTATAATGCTGTATCTTGAAGAAGAAAAGACCTAGTCAAGCATTTTGAGCAAACTTTGTGGTCAATAAAAGGCCTCTCACTTCCATTCACCCCACTAGCCAAAGCAGATCACCGACGGTAACTATCACGAAGAAACAAATGTTTCTGGGCCTCAAAATCCTTCTGGAACTTGGCATATTGACTGGTTTCATTGCAGTCAGTGTCGACACAAGTCAAAATGAAAGTAAGAGAGATATGCACGGAGCAGATATATTATTTTCACTGCTGTTTTCCGTTTTGCAATCTCATAGGCTCAGGTTCTTGTCCGCAGTTTGAGCTACTGAGGGGTAGGGATGGGAGAGATGGGAGAGAGGGAGCAAAGGGAGAAAAGGGAGAGGTCGGGGGTATTGGACTCCTTGGACCCCAGGGAGAGATGGGGGGGTCCTGGTATTCAGGGGCCAATTGGAATATCTGGTCCCCGGGGGGCAGTGGGGGAGAGAGGTGAGAGGGGAGAGAGGGGGGAGAACGGACTGAGGGGAGACCCTGGGCTAAGAGGTCGGCAGGGAGAACAGGGAGCCCAAGGTCTGCCAGTTGGAGGAGCTGTCTATGTTCGCTAGGGAAACACCACCTGTCCAACCGCCCAGGGAACACAGCTGGTGTATTCTGGAAGAGATGGGGGGACAAGACATGATCATAAAGGAGGGGCAGCCAACCATCTTTGCATGCCAGATGATCCTGACTATCTCCAGTACGTCAGTGGAGTGACCAGCCAGAATTTCGTGGCTCCGGTCGAGTACTGGTTCTCTACAATGCCATCTCTGTCTCAGTTCAACCACGACAATGTCCCCTGTGCAGTGTGCTATGTAGCCACCAGAGGCAGTGTACTGATGGTTCCTGCCAAGACCCAGTGTCATGCAGGCTGGACCAGAGAGTACTATGGTTACCTCATGTTAGCCTATCATGACCGTGATAGTCGTACAATGTATTGACATAGACCCTGAGTCAGTTCCTGGACTGAATACTCGCAGTGATCCAAAGTCTTTGTTTTATTTCAATGAGATATACTGCAATGGATTCTCCTGCCCTCCTTATGATGCAGAGAAAGAACTGACGTGTGCTGTTTGCACTCGTTGAAACAAACACTATACTTCAACAAAGACACAATGTAGTTTAAAGAGACACAAAGGTTGTATGTAGAAAGCTTAGTTATGAGGGTTACAGATGTTGCCTTTCACTTTGATCGATATGTGTAGAAAAGAAACACACACACTGAGACTCTCATTTTTCATTCCTGGATTAAGGTGTTCAAACTGAGCAAATGTATTCACAAACTGAGTGTAAAGAGAAGCTAGCTGGCTGCATTAACTAGTTATGGTGGAACCAGAAAACGATCTCCATGTGAATAAGTAAAGCATTATCATCTGCCATTATCAGTTGTGTAGTTACCGAAGAAGGACTTTGGGACCGAAATGTCCCATTGTGCTATGATTGTTTATCATCAACATGTTATTGGTAGAAAGTATTGCGGCATTGCAGTGTGCCAGTACACAGAGCCACGCCGGCAAGATAGGGTGACTATGACTACATTGCGTGAGGGTGAGACAACAAGCATTGCGTGAGTTAAACCAAACTCTCGGCTTCCGCTCTGCAGTCAAAAACTGTAAACACAGGACACAAGATCTTATGGCACACTCCTAGCTGAGCATCTAGGGGGAGAAGTTGAGGGTATAAAAACCTATGGTAGAGCTCTCTTCTGCAAGAACTATAGCCAAAGAGAATCACCGAAGTATTACTGGGAGAAGAAAAATGTTTGTGGCACTGAAAAAACCTTCTGCCACTTGGCATACTGGTAGCAATCATATGTGTCAATGACTGCACAAGCCATGTTGAAGGTTAGTGAGAAGATGTATGCACAGACTCATAGAAACTAGATGTTCCCATTTCTGTTTTTCTATCTCGTAGGCTCAGGTTCTTGTCCGCAGTTTGAGCTTCTGAGGGGAAGGGATGGGAGAGATGGGAGAGAGGGAGCAAAGGGAGAAAAGGGAGAGGTCGGGGGTATTGGACTCCTTGGACCCCAGGGAGAGATGGGGGGGTCCTGGTATTCAGGGGCCAATTGGAATATCTGGTCCCCGGGGGGCAGTGGGGGAGAGAGGTGAAAGAGGTGAGAGGGGAGAGAGGGGGGAGAAGGGAATGAGGGGAGACCCTGGGCTAAGAGGCCGTCAGGGGGAGCAGGGAGCCCAAGGTCTGCCAGTTGGAGGAGCTGTCTACACTCGCTGGGGAAACACCACCTGTCCGACCGGCCAGGGAGCAGAGCCGGTTTATTCTGGAAGAGCTGGGGGGACAAGGTATGATCACAAAGGAGGGGCAGCTAACTATCTCTGCATGCCAGATGATCCTGACTATCTCCAGTACATAAGTGGAGTGACCAACCGGAATTTCGTGGCTCCGGTCAAATATGTTTTTAATACTATGCCATCTTTGTCTCAGTTCAACAGCCACAATGTCCCCTGTGCAGTGTGCTATGTAGCCACCAGAGGCACTGTACTGATGGTTCCTGCCAAGACCCAGTGTCATGCAGGCTGGACCAGAGAGTACTATGGCTACCTCATGTCAGACCATCATGGCCATGCTGGTCGTACAATGCATGAGTGTATTGACAAAGACCCTGAGTCAGTTCCTGGACTGAATACTTACAGTAACCCAAGGTCTTTCTTTCAATTTAATGAGATATACTGCAATGGATTCTCCTGCCCTCCTTATGATGCAGAGAAAGAACTGACGTGTGCTGTTTGCACTCGTTGAAACAAACACTACACTTCAACAAAGACAATGTAGTTTACAACATTGTATGTAGAAGTATATAGTTATGTATGTATGCCTTACACTTTGATCGACATGTGTAGAAATAAATTCATTGCATAAACTGGTGGTGGTGTTTGATAGAGCATACTGGCACAGAAACTCACAAAATTGAGACGTTCAGATGTGAGTTGTCTACTGATGGCATGTCATAACAATTTGAGATTATAGTTATTGTCTAGTTTTTTTCTGTTTCACATATATATCCCACTGACTGATTGAGGACTTTAGTTAACACACTGTAGCTTTTCATCTGCAAACTATAGAACTATGTATGGTAGTAAACACATTTGCTACTTATGTACTTGTTTTGGAAGTTACTTCATCTTTTTGTGATATGCTTAGAAGGAAAACAGAGTGTTAACAGTATGGGGCACCTGTACCAAGATGGTGCGATGGATAACGCACTGCGCCATGCACAGGTAGCTATATTTTTGCTCTACGGTAATAAAGTAAAGAGAGGGAAGAGAGGTTGAATGAAAACTGATGAAGAGAGCCTTTCGCCTTAACCTGACAAATAAAGATGCTGTTCTAAAAGGGGAAAATAGCATACTTTTTCTCGCTGTCTGTCATGCTTTTACAAACTTTGAGAAATGTAACCAATTGTGACTTACATTGTGGCAGGTTAAATGAGACGTGCCGTACTTAACTCTCACATATGTATGAAATGCAGCAAACAAGTCTTGCACTGCTCAGTAAACAGGCCACATTAGAAAGAGTGTGGGGGGCTAAGAAACACTGCGTGAGGGAGAAAAAACATGCCTGCGCCCTACGTGAACTCACTGCTTCCGCTCTCCATCCAGTATACAATACTATAATGCTGTATCTTGAAGAAGAAAACACCTAGTCAAGCATTTTGAGCAAACTTGGGAGCAATAAAAGGCTCTCACTCCATTCACCCACTAGCCAAAGCAGATCACCGACGGTAACTATCAGAAGAAATGAAATGTTTCTGGGCCTAAAAATCCTACTGGAACTCGGCATATTAACTGGTTTCATTGCAGTCGGTCGGCACAAGTCAAAATGAAAGTTAGAGAGACATGCACGGAGCAGATATATTGTGTTCACTGCTGCTTTCCGTTTTGCAATCTCATAGGCTCAGGAGGTTCTTGTTCCGCATTTTGAGTAACTGAGGGAAGGGATGGGAGAGATGGGTGAAGGGAGGAAAGGGAGAAAAGGGAGATCAGGAATACTGCCAGTTGGAGGAGCTGTCTACACTCGCTGGGGAAACATAACAGGGAGTAGAAATGAAGATGGGCAAAATTTTCCACGGCTTTGCCTACTTCGTGTGCATTGGAGGGGGAGTTTTAACAAAACTCTTTGTTTGCAATGTTGCTTGTATTACTTTGAAAAATCACCCTCTGTGCATATACAGCTACACCACAGAGCGACTCGTGTGTGATTTCTGGATGAATGTAAACTAAGCAAACGTATTCACAAACTGAGTATAAAGAGAGTTAGCTGGCTGTATAACAGCTATGGTGGAGCTAGAAAACGTCTCGATGCGAATAAGTAAAGTACTATCATCTTCATTATCTTCATAGTCTGTTGGGCAGTTACTGAAGAAAGTGCTTAGGAATAAATGTCCTACTGTTGTATATTGCTATGTTTATCCGTCAAAGTTATTGGTAGAAAGTAGTGCGGCTTGCAGTGTGGCAGTAAACAGAGCCACGCCGGCAAGATAGGGTGACTATGACTACATGCATGCGGGTGAGACAAGCATCGTGCGTGAGTTAACAAACTCTCGGCTCCGCGCTGAAGTCACACACGTAACACACCGTACTAGAGAACAAGATCTTATGGCACACTCTAACGAAGCATCTTGAGAAGTCGAGGTTAAAACCTGTGGTAGAGCTCTCATTCTCTGCAAGAACTATGCCAAAGAGTACACCACGAAGTATCCACTGGGAGAAGAAAATGTTTGGGCACGAAAAAACAAACTTCTGCACTGTGGCATACTGGCAGCAATCATATGGTGTCAATGACTGTACAGGGCCATGATGAAGGTTAGTAGTGAGAAGATGTATGCACAGACTCATAGAGACTAGATGTTCCCATTCTGTTTATCAATTCATAGGCTCAGGTTCTTGTCCGCAGTTTGAGCTACTGAGGGGAAGGGACGGGAGAGATGGGAGAGATGGAGCAAAGGGAGAGGGAGAGGTCGGGGTATTGGTCTCCTTGGACCCCAGGAGAGATGGGGGCTCCTGGTATTCAGGGGCCAATTGATATCTGGTCCCGGTGCAGTGGGGGAGGGGGAGAGAGGTGAGAGGGGAGAGATGGGGGAGACGGGAATGAGGGGAGACCCTGGGCTAAGAGGTCGTCAGGGAGAACAGGAGCCCAAGGTTCTGCCAGTTGGAGGAGCTGTCTACACTCGCTGGGGAAACACCACCTGTCCGACCGGCCAGGGAACACAGATGGTTTACTCTGGAAGAGCTGGGGGACAAGATATGACCAACAATGGAGGGGGCAGCCAACCATCTCTGCATGCCAGATGATCCTGACTATCTCCAGTACATCAGTGGAGTGACTAAACAAGAATTCGTGGCTCCGGTCGAGTATTATTTCGTTACAATGCCATCTCTGTCTCAGTTCAACTACAACAATGTCCCCTGTGCAGTGTGCTATGTAGCCACCAGGGGCAGTGTACTGATGGTTCCTGCCAAGACCCAGTGTCATGCAGGCTGGACCAGAGAGTACTATGGTTACCTCATGTCTAACTATCATAACAATGGTGGTCGTACAATGTATGAGTGTGTTGACAAAGACCCTGAGTCAGTTCCTGGACTGAATGCTGAGAGTAACCCAAGGTCCTTCTTTGACGTGATGAGATATACTGCAATGGATTCTCCTGCCACTCCTTATGATGCAGAGAAGAACTGACGTGTGCTGTTTGCACTCGTTTGAAACAAACCACTATACTTCAACAAAGGCAATGTAGTTAACAAACGTTGTATGTAGAATGTATTATATTTATGTATGTATGCCTTATACTTTGATCGATATGTGTAGAAAATAAACTTATTGCATAAAGTTGGTGGTGGTGTTTGATAAAGCAATACTGGCATGGAACTCACAAAATTTAGATGTATAGTGTGAGATTGTCTACTGATGGCCATAAACAATTTGAGATTATACTCAATGTCTAGGTAACCCTCGGCGCGCATGCGCAGCGAGGGTACGGTAGTCTGTTACTCATCATCTCACTTCTCGAGTGTTCGTTCGTCTCACAAAGGATACCACCTACTGAACGGGGCGACGAAGGTCAGAAAATATGTGGGGTTTTCTCTGAAAATGCTCCGTTGCAGAGGTAGCTACAGCGCGAAAAAGCCAATATGCAAATCCACAACGGACGGGATGGCTTACCACGGTTTGATCGATCCGCGTGCTCTGCGTACCTCGGAGGCACCAGAAGATGCAACGCAGGGGCGCGTATCGCCTCTCTAGTAGTGTAGTTAGCCCGCGTCAGGACTGCGCGAGCTGGCAAGAGACCACGAGTAACAGCTCTAAAACTAAACCCAGCCCATCAATTAGTGGTACGGCGCATGCGTTTACTTACGCGTGCGCGGTCACAGTGCGCCGAGGGTTTGCACTTCAGTGCTTTTCCTGTTTCACAACATAGATATATCCCAACTGACTGATTGAGGACTTTAGTTAACACACTGTAGTGTTTCATCTGCAAACTATGGGCTAATAATGTATGGTGTCAACACATTTGCTACCTATGTACTGTTTGGGAATTACCTTCATCTTTGGTGATACGCTTAGAAGGAAAACAGAGTGTTACACTATGGGGCACTCTGTACCAACATGGTGTGATGGGATAACGCACTGCGCCATGCATAGGTAAGCCTATATTTTGCTCTACGGTAATAAGTAAAGAGAGGGAAGAGAGGTTGAATGAAAAACTGAATGAAGAAGAGCCTTTTCTCCCCTTAAACCTGACAAACAAAAGATGCTGTTCTATAAGGGAAATAATAGCATACATTTTCTCGCTCTCTGTCATGCTTTTACTTTGAGAAGAAGTAAACCAATGGTGACTTACATTGGAGCAGGTTTAATGAGATAGTGCCGTACATTAAACTGTCACATGTGTATGAAATGCAGTGAATGAGTCTTGCACTGCCCAGTAAACAGGGCCACATCAGAAAGAGTGTGGGTGGATAAGAACACATTGCGTGAGGGAGAGAAAACATGCCTGCGCCCTGCGTGAACTCACTGCTTCCACTCTCCATCCAGTATACAAATACTATAATGCTGTATCTTGAAGAAGAAAACACCTAGTCAAGCATTTTGAGCAAACTTTGGAGGCAATAAAAGGCCTTTCACTTCCATTCACCCCACTAGCTAAAGCAGCTCACCGACGGTAACTATCAGGAAGAAAAAAATGTTTCTGGGCCTCAAAATCTTTCTGAAACTTGCCATATTGACTGGTTTCATTGCAGTCAGTGTCAGCACAAGTCAAAATGAAAGTTAGAGAGAAATGCATGGAGCAGATATATTGCTTTCACTGCTGTTTTCCGTTTTGCAATCTCACAGGCTCAGATTTTTGTCCACAGTTTGAGCTAGGGATGGGAGAGATGGGAGAGATGGGAGAAAAGGGAGAAAAGGGAGATCCAGGAATGCTGCCAGTTGGAGGAGCTGTTTATGTTCGCTGAGGAAACACCACCTGTTCACCAGGGAGTAGAAATGAAGATGGCGAAAATTCTCCATGGCTTTGCCGACTTTGTGTGCATTGGAGGGGAGTTTAACAAAACTCCTCGCAATGTTTGGCTTGTAAAAAATTCTCTCCGTGCAGAGTATAAACTGAACCAAAAGCAAGTTGTATACGTATGATTTCTGGACGAAAGTGTTCAAACTGAGCGAACGTATTCAGACCATTAATGAGAAGCTAGCTGGTTGCATATTAACCAGCTATAGAGAAAGAAGAAAATGATCTTCATGTAAATAATGTAAAGTAGCTAGCTAGTTGTGTAGTTACTGAAGAAAGTGTTTGGGTCTAAATGCCCTACTGTCCTATTTTGCTATGTTTATCCTCAAAGAGATATTGGTAGAATGTATTGTGGCATTGCAGTGTGGCAGTAAACACAGCCACGCCGGCTAGATAGGGTGACTATGACTACATTGCGTGAGGGTGAGACAACAAGCATTGCGTGAGATTAACCAAACTCTCGGCTTCCGCTCTGCAGTCAAAAACTGTAAACACAGTACTAGAGATACAAGACCTTATGGCACACTGCTAGCTGAGCATCTTGGGGGAGAAGTCGAGGGTATAAAAACCTGTGGTTGCAATTAAATCTGGCTGTACTGATGGTGTGCATTGAAGAACAAAACCATTTGCATTGTTTGGCTTGTATTACTCTCTGTGCATTGGTATAACTTGCACAAAAGACAAATCCATGGACACCACCACAATGACTTCATGGATTTTTTATACACATCATCCATCAAAGTAAAGCACATATAATGGCCAGTTGGAGGAGCTGTCTATGTTGCCAGATATACTGCGATGGATTCTCCTGCCCTCCTTATGATGCAGAGAAAGAACTGACATGTGCTGTTTGCACTCGTTGAAACAAACACTATACTTCAACAAAGACACAATGTAGTTTAAAGAGACACAAAGGTTGTATGTAGAAAGCTTAGTTATGAGGGTTACAGATGTTGCCTTTCACTTTGATCGATATGTGTAGAAAAGAAACACACACACTGAGACTCTCATTTTTCATTCCTGGATTAAGGTGTTCAAACTGAGCAAATGTATTCACAAACTGAGTGTAAAGAGAAGCTAGCTGGCTGCATTAACTAGTTATGGTGGAACCAGAAAACGATCTCCATGTGAATAAGTAAAGCATTATCATCTGCCATTATCAGTTGTGTAGTTACCGAAGAAGGACTTTGGGACCGAAATGTCCCATTGTGCTATGATTGTTTATCATCAACATGTTATTGGTAGAAAGTATTGCGGCATTGCAGTGTGCCAGTACACAGAGCCACGCCGGCAAGATAGGGTGACTATGACTACATTGCGTGAGGGTGAGACAACAAGCATTGCGTGAGATTAACCAAACTCTCGGCTTCCGCTCTGCAGTCAAAAACTGTAAACACAGTACTAGAGATACAAGATCTTATGGCACACTCCTAACTGAGCATGTTGGGGGAGAAGTCGAGGGTATAAAAACCTGTGGTAGAGCTCTCTTTTGCAAGAGCTATAGCCAAAGAGAATCACCGAAGTATCACTGGGAAAAGAGAAATGTTTGTGGCACTGAAAAACCTTCTGCCACTTGGCATACTGGCAGCAATCATATGTGTCAGTGACTGTACAGGCCATGATGAAGGTCAGTGAGAAGATGTATGCACAGACTCATAGAGACTTAGATATACTCCCATTTCTGTGTTTCAATCTCATAGGCTCAGGTTCTTGTCCACAGTTTGAGCTACTGAGGGGAAGGGATGGGAGAGATGGGAGAGATGGAGCAAAGGGAGAAAAGGGAGAGGTAGGGAGTATCGGTCTCCCTGGACGCCAGGGAGAGATGGGGGGCCCTGGTATTCAGGGGCCAATTGGAATATCTGGTCCCCGGGGGGAAGTGGGGGAGAGAGGTGAGAGGGGAGAGAGGGGGGGAAGGGAATGAGGGGAGACCCTGGGCTAAGAGGTCGTCAGGGAGAACAGGGAACCCAAGGTCTGCCAGTTGGAGGAGCCGTCTACACTCGCTGGGGAAACACCACCTGTCCAACCGGCCAGGGAACACAGCTGGTGTATTCTGGAAGAGCTGGGGGAACAAGACATGATCACAAAGGAGGGGCAGCCAACCATCGCTGCATGCCAGATGATCCTGACTATCTCCAGTACGTCAGTGGAGTGAACAACCAGAATTTCGTGGCCCCCGTCGAGTACTGGTTCGCTAGAATGCCATCTCTGTCTCAGTTCAACAGCCACAATGTCGCCTGTGCAGTGTGCTATGTAGCCACCAGAGGCACTGTACTGATGATTCCTGCCAAGACCCAGTGTCATTCAGGCTGGACCAGAGAGTACTATGGTTACCTCATGTCTAACCATCATAGCCTTGATGGTCGTACAATGTATGAGTGTATTGACATAGACCCTGAGTCAGTTCCTGGACTGAATACTCGCAGTGATCCAAAGTCTTTGTTTTATTTCAATGAGATATACTGCAATGGATTCTCCTGCCCTCCTTATGATGCAGAGAAAGAACTGACGTGTGCTGTTTGCACTCGTTGAAACAAACACTATACTTCAACAAAGACAATGTAGTTTAACAAACATTGTATGTAGAATGTATATAGTTATGTATGTATGCCTTATACTTTGATCGACATGTGTAGAAAATAAACTCATTACATAAACTTGGTGGTGGTGTTTGATGGCACAGAACTCACAAAATTGAGATGTTCAGTGTTAGGTTCTCTACTGACGGCCATAAACAATTTATGTCTAGTTTTTTTTCCTGTTTCACACATAGATATATCCCCACTGACTGATTGAGGACTTTAGTTAACATACTGTAGTGTTTCATCTGCAAACTATGCTAATGTATGGTGTCAACACATTTGTTACTTATATACCTGTTTGGGAATTACCTTTATCTTTTGGTGATATGCTTAGAAGGAAAACACAGTGTTAACAGTATGGGGCACTCTGTACCAACATGGTGCGATGGGATAACGCACTGCACCATGCATAGGTAAGCCTATATCTTTGCTATACGGTAATAAAGTAAAGAGAGGGAAGAGAGGTTGAATGAAAACTGAATGAACAAGAGCCTTTTCTCCCCTTAAACCTGACAAATAAAGATGCTGTTCTAAAGGGGAAAATAGCATACTTTTTCTCGCTCTCTGTCATGCTTTTACTTTGAGAAGAAGTAAACCAATCGTGACTTACATTGTGGCAGGTGAAATGAGATAGTGCCGTGCATTAAACTCTCACATGTATGAAATGCACTGCCCAGTAAACAGGGCCACATCAGAAAGAGTGTGGGTGGCTAAGAACACATTGCGTGAGGGAGAGAAAGCATGCCTGAGCCCTGCGCAAACTCAATGCTTCCGCTTTCCATCCAGTATACAAATACTATAATGCTGTATCTTGGACAAGAAAACACCCAGTTGAGTATTGCGAGCAAACTTTGGGGGCAATAAAAGGCCTCTCACTTCCATTCACCCCACTAGCCAAAGCAGATCACTGACGGTAACTATCAGGAAGAAAAAATATGTTTCTGGGCCACAAAATCCTTCTGCAACTTGGCATATTGACTGGTTTCATTGCAGTCAGTGTTGGCACAAATCAAAATGAAAGTTAGAGAGATATGCATGGAGCAGATATATTATTTTCACTGTTGTTTTCCGTTTTGCAATCTCATAGGCTCAGGAGGTTCTTGTCCGCAGTTTGAGCTACTGAGGGGAAGGGATGGGAGAGATGGGAGAGATGGAGCAAAGGGAGAAAAGGGAGAGGTCGGGGGTATCGGTCTCCCTGGACCCCAGGGAGAGATGGGGGGCCCTGGTATTCAGGGGCCAATTGGAATATCTGGTCCCCGGGGGGCAGTGGGGGAGAGAGGTGAGAGGGGAGAGAGGGGGGAGAAGGGAATGAGGGGGGACCCTGGGCTAAGAGGTCGTCAGGGGGAACAGGGAGCTCAAGGTCTGCCAGTTGGTGGAGCTGTCTACACTCGCTGGGGAAGAACAACCTGTCCGACCGGCCAGGGAACACAGCTGGTATACTCTGGAAGAGCTGGGGGGACAAGAGATGATCATAAAGGAGGGGCAGCCAACTATCTCTGCATGCCAGATGACCCTGACTACCTCCAGTACATCAGTGGAGTGACTAACAAGAATTTCGTGGCTCCGGTCGAGTATTATTTCGCTACAATGCCATCTCTGTCTCAGTTCAACAGCCACAATGTCCCCTGTGCAGTGTGCTATGTAGCCACCAGAGGCAGTGTACTGATGGTTCCTGCCAAGACCCAGTGTCATGCAGGCTGGACCAGAGAGTACTATGGTTACCTCATGTCAGCCTATCATTACCATGCTGGTCGTACAATGTATGAGTGTATTGACAAAGACCCTGAGTCAGTCCCTGGACTGGAAGCTAATAGTAATCCAAAGTCTTACTTGGACCTTAATGAGGCATACTGCAATGGATTCTCCTGCCCTCCTTATGATGCAGAGAAAGAACTGACGTGTGCTGTTTGCACTCGTTGAAACAAACACTATACTTCAACAAAGACAATGTAGTTTAAAAGAGACATAAACATTGTTTAATACTGAGACTTTAGTCATGAATGTTTGATTGATGTGTATACAACCATCATAAACTCTGTTGTTTGATAAAGCAATACTGGCACAGATCTCACATTGAGATGTTCAGTGTGAGGTTGCCTACTGATGGCCACGTCATAAACAAGATGTCAAGATGTATACTTATTGCCTAGTTTTTGCTGTTAAATCAACTAATTGATTCAGTGTTTTAGTTAACATACTGTAGTCTTAGTTATGTTTCATCTGCAAACTATGGGCTAATGTATGATGTCAACACATTTGCTACTTATATACCTGTTTGGGAATTACCTTCATCTTTTGGTGATATGCTTAGAAGGAAAACAGAGTATTTACAGTATGGGGCACTCTGTACCAACATGGTGCAATGGGATAACGCACTGCACAATGCATAGGTAAGCCTACATTTTTGCTATACGGTAATAAAGTAAAGAGAGGGGAGAGAGATTGAATGAAAACTGAATGAAGAAGAGCCTTTTTTCCCCTTAAACCTGACAAACAAAAGATGCTGTTCTAAAGGGGAATAATAGCATACTCTTTCTCGCTCTCTGTCATGCTTTTACAAACTTTGAGAAGAAGTAAACCAATGGTGACTTACATTGTGGCAGGTGAAAAGAGATAGTGCCGTGCATTAAACTCTCACATGTAACTTTGCGTTTATAAACTCGTGATGCCAGAGAGAGAAGTTGCGGTATGCTTTGCTGATGAGGGCCAACAAGCCCGAAACAGCTGTCCAGAGCTCCACATCTTTTTTCTCTTGGCATCACATGGTCTATTATTACATGTGTATGAAATGCAGTGAACAAGTCTTGCACTGCCCAGAAAACAGTGCCACATCAGAAAGAGTGTGGGTGGCTAAGAACACATTGCGTGAGGGAGAGAAAGCATGCCTGAGCCCTGCGCGAACTCAATGCTTCCACTCTCCATCCAGTATACAAATACTATAATGCTGTATCTTGAAGAAGAAAACACCTAGTCGAGTATTTTGAGCAAACTTTAGAGGCAATAAAAGGCCTTTCACTTCCATTCACCCCACTAGCCAAAGCAGATCACCGACGGTAACCATCAGGAAGAAATAAAATGTTTCTGGGCATCAAAATCCTTCTCCAACTTGGCATATTGACTGGTTTCATTGCAGTCAGTGTCGACACAAGTCAAAATGAAAGTTAGAGAGATATGCATGGAGCAGATATATTGCTTTCACTGCTGTTTTCCGTTTTGCAATCTCATAGGCTCAGATTTTTGTCCACAGTTTGAGCTAGGGATAGGAGAGATGGGAGAGATGGGAGAAAAGGGAGAAAAGGGAGATCCAGGAATACTGCCAGTTGGAGGAGCTGTCTACACTCGCTGGGGAAACATAACCAGGGAGTAAAAATGAAGATGACGAAAATTCTCCATGGCTTTGCCTACTTTGTGTGCATTGGAGGGGAGTTTAACAAAAAACTCTTTGTTTGCAATGTTTGGCTTGTATTACTTAGAAAAATCACCCTCTGTGCATATTACAAGTGTGTGATTTCTGGATGAAGGTAAACTAAGCGAACGTATTCACAAACTGAGTATAAAAGTTAGCTGGCTGTATAACTAGCTATGGTGGAGCTAGAAAACGATCTCCGCGAATAAGTAAAGTACTATCATCTGCCATTATCTTCATAGTATTTACTGAAGAAAGTGTTTAGGAATAAATGTCCTACTGTTCTATTTTGCCATGTTTATCCTCAAAGAGTTATTGGCAGAAAGTATTGCGACATTGCAGTGTGCCAGTAAACAGAGCCACGCCGGCAAGATAGGGTGACTATGACTACATTGCGTGAGGGTGAGACAACAAGCATTGCGTGAGATTAACCAAACTCTCGGCTTCCGCTCTGCAGTCACAAACTGTAAACACAGTACTAGAGATACAAGATCTTATGGCACACTCCTAACTGAGCATCTTGGGGGAGAAGTGGAGGGGTATAAAAACCTGTGGTAAAGCTCTCTTATACTAGAGAAGAACTATAGCAAAACAGAATCACGGAAGTATCACTGGGAGAAGAAAAATTTTTGTGGCACTGAAAAACCTTGTGCCACTTGGCATACTGGTAGCTATCACATGTGTCAGTGACTGCACAGGCCATGATGAAGGTTAGTGAGAAGATGTATGCACTGACTCATAGAGACTTCGATATTCCCATTTCTGTTTTTCAATCTCATAGGCTCAGGTTCTTGTCCGCAGTTTGAGCTACTGAGGGGAAGGGACGGGAGAGATGGGAGAGATGGAGCAAAGGGAGAAAAAGGAGAGGTCGTGGGTATTGGTCTCCCTGGACCCCAGGGAGAGATGGGGGCTCCTGGTATTCAGGGGCCAATTGGAATATCTGGTCCCCGGGGGGCAGTGGGGGAGAGAGGTGAGAGGGGAGAGAGGGGGGAGAAGGGAATGAGGGGAGACCCTGGGCTAAGAGGTCGTCAGGGGGAACAGGGAGCCCAAGGTCTGCCAGTTGGAGGAGCTGTCTACACTCGCTGGGGAAACACCACCTGTCCGACCGGTCAGGGAACACAGCTGGTTTATTCTGGAAGAGCTGGGGGGACAAGATATGATCACAAGGGAGGGGCAGCCAACTATCTCTGCATGCCAGATGATCCTGGCTATCTCCAGTACATCAGAGGAGTGACTAACAAGAATTTCGTGGCTCCGGTCGAGTACTGGTTTGCTACAATGCCATCTCTGTCTCAGTCCAACCACCACAATGTCCCCTGTGCAGTGTGCTATGTAGCCACCAGAGGCAGTGTACTGATGGTTCCTGCCAAGACCCAGTGTCATGCAGGCTGGACCAGAGAGTACTATGGTTACCTCATGTCTAACCATTATAGCTTTGATGGTCGTACAATGTATGAGTGTATTGACATAGACCCTGAGTCAGTTCCTGGACTGAATGCTGGCAGTGACCCAAGGTCTTTGTTTGAGCTGTTGAGCTGGGGGGACAAGGTATGATCATAAAGGAGGGGCAGCCAACTATCTGTGCATGCCAGATAATCCTGACTTTCTCCAGTACATCAGTGGAGTGACCAGCCAGAATTTCGTGGCTCCGGTCGAGTATGCATTTTCATCTATGCCATCTCTGTCTCAGTTAAACTACCACAATGTCCCCTGTGCAGTGCGCTATGTAGCCACCAGAGGCACTGTACTGATGGTTCCTGCCAAGACCCAGTGTCATGCAGGCTGGACCAGAGAGTACTATGGTTACCTCATGTCTAACCGCCATGACCTTCATGGTCGTACAATGTATGAGTGTATTGACAAAGACCCTGAGTCAGTTCCTGGACTGAACACATACAGTAATCCAAGGTCTTTGTTTTACTTCAATGAGATATACTGCAATGGATTCTCCTGCCCTCCTTATGATGCAGAGAAAGAACTGACGTGTGCTGTTTGCACTCGTTGAAACCAACACTATACTCCAACAAAGACAATGTAGTTTAAAGAGACACAAACATTGTGTAATACTGAGACTTTAGTCATGAATGTTTGATTGATATACTGTATGCCTTTTACTTTGGTCGCGTGTATACAAACATCATAAACTCTGTTGTTTGATAAAGCAATACTGGCACAGATCTCACAAAATTGAGATGTATAGTTTGAGGTTGCCTCCTGATGGCCACGTCATAAAGAATTTGAGATTATACTTATTGTCTAGTTTTTTTTTCTTTTTCACACATAAATATATCCCCACTGACTGATTGAGGACTTTAGTTAACATACTGTAGTTTTTCATCTGCAAACTATGCTAATGTATGGTGTCAACACATTTGTTACTTATATACCTGTTTGGGAATTACCTTCATGTTTTGATGATATGCTTAGAAGGAAAACAGAGTGTTAACAGTATGTGGCACTCTGTACCAACATGGTGCGATGGGACAACGCACTGCGCCATGCGTAGGTATAAGCCTATATTTTTGCTATACTGCAATAAAGTAATGAGAGGGAAGAGAGGTTGAATGAAAACTGAACGAAGAAGAGCCTTTTCTCCCATTAAGCCTGACAAATAAAAGATGCTCTTCTAAAGGGGAATAGTAGCATATTTTTTCTTACTCTCTGTCAATGCTTTTACTTTGAGAAGAATCGTGACTTACATTGTGGCAGGTGAAATGATATAGTGCCGTACATTAAACTCTCATACTCTGTATGAAATGCAGTGAATCAGTCTTGCACTGCCCAGTAAACAGGGCCACATCAGAAAGAGTGGGGGTGGCTAAGAACACATTGCGTGAGGGAGAGAAAACATGCCTGTGCCCTGCGTGAACTCACTGCTTCTGCTCTCCATCCAGTATACAATACTATAATGCTGTATCTTGGATAAGAAAACACCTAGTCAAGCATTGTGAGCAAAGTTTTAGGGCCATAAAAGGCCTCTCACTTCCATTCGCCCCACTAGCCAAAGCAGATCACTGACGGTAACTATCAGGAAGAAAAAAAATGTTTCTGGGCCTCAAAATCCTTTTCCGTTTTGCTATCTCATAGGCTCAGGTTTTTGTCCGCAGTTTTAACTACTGAGGGGAAGGTATGGGAGAGATGGGAGAGAGGGAGCAAAGGGAGAAAAGGGAGATCCTGGAATACCGCCAGTTGGAGGAGCTGTCTACGTTCGCTGGGGAAACACCACCTGTCCACCAGGGAGAAGAAATGAAGATGGCGAAAATTCTCCATCGCTTTGCCTACTTTGTGTGCATTGGAGGGGAGTTTAACAAACTCCTTGCAATGTCTGGTTTGTAGAAAATTCTCTCCGTGCAGAGTATAACTTGCCCAAAAACAAGTTGTATATGTATGATTTCTGGACGAAAGTGTTCAAACTGAGCGAACGTATTCAGACCATTAATGAGAAGCTAGCTAGTTGCATATTAACCAGCTATAGAGAAAGGAGAAAATAATCCTCATGTGAATAATGTAAAGTAGCTAGCTAGTTGTGTAGTTACTGAAGAAAGTGTTTTGGTCTTAATATCCTACAGTTCTATGTTTATCCTCAAAGAGTTATTGGTATAAATGATTGTAGCATTGCAGTGTGGCAGTAAGCAGAGCCACGCCGGCAAGATAGGGTGACTATGACTACATTGCGTGAGGGTGAGACAACAAGCATTGCGTGAGATTAACCAAACTCCCGGCTTCCGCTCTGCAGTCAAAAACTGTAAACACAGTACTATAGATACAAGACCTTATGGCACACTCCTAACTGAGCATCTTGGGGAGAAGTCGAGGGTATAAAAACCTGTGGTAGAGCTCTCTTCTGCAAGAAATATAGCCAAAGAGAATCACTGAAGTATCAACGGGAGACGGAAAAAAAATGTTTTTGGCACTGGAAAACCTGCGCCACTTGGCATACTGGGTACGCAGAAAAGAACAAAAAGAGCTGTCCTTTTACGCGTCTCACTCTCGATCCTATCTCTTTTATCCTCACCCTCGTGCCCCTCGGGTTTCTTCTTTGCCCACCTGAGATATCTTCTCCTTTTGCTCTCTACGCCATCGTCCTCTCCGTTTTATCCCGCGCTTTGACCTCCTTACCTCTTGCCTCCGCTTTCCTCCATTGCTCTCAATCTCTTCCCCTAGACATCTTCCTTACCTAAACTCCGCCTTTTCCTTTCTTCCTCTGCTTCCGCTCGCGCGCCAGAGGGGCACCTGGAAAAAAGCCAATGAGACAAGGTGGGGGAGACAAACGGGTGCAGACAGACAAGGGGGAGACCAGGGAGAGGGTGGGGGGGGGGGGCGGAACATAAGGAGAGACAAGAGGGGGAAAATTGAACGCGACGGACTAGAGTAAGGAGGGGGAGGAAGATGGTGAGCGGCGATGGCAAAAACTAAAACAGGCGAGGATAAAGCAACGACAGTGAAACGGTGTTCAAGTAGAGCCAGAGAGAGAAATGGTGAGAGGTATTTTTTTGCATTAGAATCCAAAGTTGGTGAAAAAATATGATGCCAAGAAGAATCTGAGATGACTTTCTCTTGTTTGTCGGATCTGAATCTACCTAACTCCCGCCACCTTCACTTCCTTTGTACTGACAATAGGATTTCCTAATCATCTCCAGGTAATGCTTAATATCGGATGACTAGGGGCATCCTCGTCATGCTACGGTGCATCTTACGCATATATCTGTAAAATCAGATCCGGCAATTTTTATGCGTTGGTGGAGAATACCAAATTAACCCATCATTTTGAGTAAACTTCCAGTGATGGTATTGTAAACTCTGTATCGCCACAACGAGTTTTTTTGATATGAACCACATTAACAAGTTTTTTTGTTGGTGTAGTCCAAAGGATCGGCGAATATTTTACCAATCCGTTCTTTGACTCAAATTTTTTAGTTCCAGTGATGTCCAAACAGGTTTTCTCAGGTTTTACATCAAGTATTGCGGATTGGAATGAATTTGGAAATGGGGTACATGTGGCGAGAACGTCTTTGCCATAGCTTTCTCCATGTCGATGCTCTTGATTCTCTTTGTTCTTAATTTCATTCTGCTTTTTCATGCCACTACTTTTGAAAGGAATGTTGATTCGGGTCATCTTATTTCTATCAAAGCCCATGATTTCAGATAAATCCAGATTTGACTGGTATCCGGACATCATTTTCTCAACCATATTCACGGTAGCCAGCGTACGAGTTTCTGCCTCTCAATATTCTCTGTTTTTATCTGTGATTCTGGAAACTTGCCAAGGCTTGACTGTTTTGTGCCATTCCCGTTAAACATCTACATTGGCATGAACTGGGCCCATAAGTGATGATTTTCTGATGAGGATGCATCTTTTTCCAGGATTTTTGCAAAATTCACCTCCTTTTAGGTGCAACTATTTCCTGTAAATCTGAATTAGACATGGGCATACATAGTGCAGCGGTATTTTTGGTAATACCGCTTATCTTAACTATGTCCCCTTCATGTATTCACTTTTCCTGCATGTATTTCGGTTTTCTATTTTCCACAATTGTTTTTGCATTGATCGGACATCGTTTTTCTTCGATCTATCTCGTTCTTTATGCACCACACTGATTCAACCTGATTATCATCATTCTCAGCCATTGGGTTTCCATAAATTGGGTTAATCCTCGGATGCTCATAAAGTGTTTGCATCTTTACTCTTTTGAGAGCAAAGTCCGAGATTTAGAGTTACTTGTTAGGCATGGTCAGTTCGAATTGTGTGCAGGTACGTGATTATTGATTTTCATGGATTTGATCCTCAGACAATCATAGTGTTTTTAATATTTAAAATATTTTCAGACACACCTAGCCTTTCCAACTTCGCAGCGAGACTGAACATTTCGATGTTCAGATCATCAAGACCAGTGCGGCAGGGTCAAGGTAATTACTTATTGTCTGTACAAGTGGCTATATATCGTAATGTAGTCTTCATTTGACTGTGAAATTTCGATATCCTCGTACCTGCATAAAATGCATAACTTCGAGATGAAGAGTCTTGAAATGATGGAACGGTGGGAGGTCGATTATTGTAATAGAACTTAAATAAATGTTAACTATACCGATGTATCCGGCACGGAACTGCAATTATTGAGTCTGCAATCCTATTACTGTCAATGTATTATTATGTAAGTAGATCATTTTGATGTTTTTGTCTACTATATTTGATTAACCCGACAATACCTCCAACGCAGATCATACCAGGTGTGTCCAAATGATACCATAGAAATACATATTCTGGCCATATGCTATAGACGCAACCAAAACCATTGTTGCAGAAAACAATCCCATGAGATCTGTTGGAACAAATTGTCGAGTAAAGATAACTGTGATAGTTGTATCTAGTCTTCATTCTCCTCTTGGCGTGTTTTTCTTTCTCGCGTATGAACGGATAACTACCCATACACTTGTGCCCATTAGAAAAAACGACTGCCATAATGAAGAATCATTATAAAAAATATCGAGACGTCTCCTGTTCTATTTCACAGGCAGCATAGTTCCACTTTCATCCTCTACCAACACGCATTTGGATGGCTGTATAGGCGGTAATTCCTTTATCGTTCATATCTGGCAACAGCGTAAGATTACGAAAAGACAGCTAGTGGAGTACAAAGAGAACTCCATAATAATTAATGTACTGCTATCTTCATTTCTTGATTATCATTTCCTAATGACTGAGGATCTACATACAGTATTCCCTCGATAGATAATTCTATAATCGGTATCATTACGATATGACTAACTGATCTAAAGCTGGTTGACTGGAACATTACAGGTGATGGTGTTACCCAAGACTGCAGAAATGAGTTGGGCGGCGATGCCAAAATACAAGCACCGATGATGCCGGCTATTGCCAAATGAAAGATACTGTGCTTGTTAGGAATGTTGTTTTCTTTTTAGATAAGATAAGGAATTGGATAATAACATACTGCAACACCTAATGACTAGCCTGCGAGTATACAGCACCAATAACGCGGATGCGTGTTTGTCTATGTGTTCTGGTGAGTTTGCTTCCATCCATACATACCAGGGATCTGTACAAGAGAGACTACACTAGATACAAAGAGCCAACCAACTGCGTCTCTTA